AGCAAACATTAAATTTTTCAAATATGGAAACCTTGCTGCATACTTGCGGCAAACATTGCTGCAAGCATACGGCAAACATTGCTGCAAACTTGCAGCAAACATTGCTGCAAGCTTGCGGCAAACATTGCTGCAGGCTTGCGGCAAACATTGCTGCTAACTTGCGGCAAGCAATATAGTTATTGTTTTAGGCACATTGCTGCGTAAAAGCAGCAAGTTCTTTTGTTTCACTAATATTATAAAGTTAAAAATTGGCATACATCATGATGAACATTTTTGGTATAATGCAAAAAAAATCAATGAAATATCTCCATAAATAACATTTTTCTCTCAGGTATACGAATCTTACAAATCAGTTGTTGGCGCAACACTAACGACGTCAAAATGTAGCTCGTGGCGTTTGAAATTTTTTTTTTTTTTTTTGGAAATGTGCTTCTGATAAAATTCGTTTAAGCATAAATTCAGCATGGTATTTAATTTTATTTTCCAAATTATACATCTCAATTACTAATGTTAGCAGAAGATTGCAGAATTAATTCTTTTATAGACAATTTCTCAATCCCGATAACAAACCTAGCAGTTCGCATTGTTTAACGGCGGCCTTCACTTAGGCCTATGACGTCCAGCTCCTGACTTTCAGTTTGCCTTCATTTTTGTTAGTCTACAAAACGCCTCTTCTATCGGATAACCAGTCAAGCCATCCTCAAACCTCTTCAACTACGGATAAACCTGTGTCCGAGATTTATGTTTCTGTTTTTCCATCGTTAACATCTCTTTTATCGTATGGGTAGGAGTCATATCCCACTTCATAATTTTGTGCTTCACATTATCGCCAAACGTCACCATTTTTGACAACATCTAATTAAAAATGTTTTGGCATATAACGCCTTATATTTGTCATTAATGATGTCAAATTAATGAATATTTATGCACGAGTACACCAGATCAACGAGTATTGATGGAAGTAAATTTTGTGACATTATATTTCCGTATAGCCTGGTAAAAAAGAAAACTTCATTGACAATGCTACTTTTAAAAGTCAAAATCTTGCCGTGCGCCGACCACCGATATTTAACACCCTTTAAATCCTGTTTTTATATACTTATGACATCACAAGCCTAAAATATTTTGTCAAAATACCGAAAATATCATTTTCCAACAACATGCAAAAAATTATTACTTTAGGTCGAATAGTTTCTAAAATATCAAAAAAGTTCGCGTTTTTTTGGGACAACCCTCGTACTCCTACATCCAGAATTATGCTCTTTGTAATCATTCAAAATAGTATATACAATGTATTCCTAACAAAATACTGAAACATCTACACTTCTATTCAAATATTTCAAAATGGCGAATTGTTTCTTGACCCCATTACAATCTGCATTTCGTTGGCTGATTTGACTTGTTTACTGTTCTTGCAAATTTCCTGCAAACATTCAATTTGTTTAATGTTTCCTGTGAACTTTCTGCAAACAACAGATTGGCGTGTTTGTTTCTTGCAATGTTCCTGCAAACATGTTGAGTTCCTGCGAATTTGCTGCAAGCTTACAGCAATTGCTGCAATGTTTGCCGCAGGATCACAGCTAGCGGCAATCATCTGATAACAAGAAAATTTTCTTCCAGCGAACAATTTTGTTGGCTGCAAGCTTGCAGCAGACTTGCTACACGTCTGCAGCAAGTATGACAGTTTGGTAAGGGTGTAACGATTTTCAACATTACATTGTGTTTATATCAAAACTTTTACTGCATATATATCGGTAAATATTTACAAAACCATGTGTGTATATCAATTCATAGAGTTGAAATCGATCTTTAAATTTATAGTTAAGATATTACAACGGTAAATTTGTAAGCGACATAAAAAATTCTTATTGGGCATGCCTTTGTAGAATGACTGAATTACGATAAACACATAAAATGTATTTGGTTAACTTACATACATTACATATTAACATATGATTACACATTAACTTCTAATAAACAAACAATATATTTCAATTCTTTTTATATGTTTAATACTGTACACAGGGTAATCTTGCAATATTTGTCCAATTTTAAATTTGATTAGACATGCTTCTGTTTAAGAAATTATGTTGTTTTCTTTGAAATCACTCCGTTTTAAATTTGCCTTGTCGAGCTGATGGCGAAAGAGGGCAAAATAGAACAGGGGGATTCTTTGTATACAGTAGTTTATATTTTCTTTGCATGTCTTTGAATCATATCTTGTTTTTTTAACAGGTCTGGACCCAATATCCCGTTATCTTGGATGTGTTTTTGCCCTTGTCCCTGATGATAACCCAGAGTTCAGGAAGAAAATTCTCCTGGGGCTAAACTTTTACAGCAATGAATACTCAGTTGGGGGGGGGGGGGGGAGGGTTATCGTAGGCAACCAGTAAGTTTCTTTGGGTCTTGCTTCACCATAAAATATTATCTGGGATAAACATTTACTGTATGACTGTGTCTCTTTTGGCTGTGTGTCTTCAAGATATTCCAATTAAATTTGGCAGAATTAGGTTAAGTAAATTCATTCAATCTACTTGGATTGCATCGGTTTTGTTCATGTATTATTAGTGAAATCCTTTTTAAACTCTACTTCGCGGCTAGGATAAGGTGTCCGTAAAATATCAAAGTGTTCCAACTGAAGTAACATCTCTGAACTACCTAAATATGACGTCATAATAGCATATGACGTCAAGTCACTGCGTACTTGTGCTAACATGACAGGGAAAGTGTCATAACTTTTACATTCTTTTCACATGACAGGTAAAGATTTTTTAGCGTTGTTGTTTGATTCAAGAGTGTGGATTGTTCTTTAAGTTTAAGTGAGCTGTTATGATGTTGAATCTTTGCAATTTAAAATCGCTATTCCATTAACTTGTCAAATATACATATATTCAAACAATAACAAAAAATTGACTGTGAAATGCTCCCCCTACACGTCCGTGTACAGAGTTAGAATTTATAAATTGTGTATATACTTGACTGGCACAAGTGATTAATAATGATAATTTGAAGATATTCTGTGTGAATCTACTAGAGACGTATGTCCTCTAACTAAATTTTGCTGGGGGATTGTATGTAATTTATCCTATTTTGTATAAATTGCGATAAAGAGTGGAAAATGTACCCTTGTATGTTGGTAAGTTGAATTTCTCGGGGAATATTTTCTTAAGAAGTAAAATTCAGACTTGCCCCTAGCACTTTATATGTACCAAAGATCACGATGAATCGACTTATGTGTTAATTTTTTCTCAATAATATTGTTTTGCACTTGTGCCGATGCGATTTTTTGTGCAACATATAGGAATTTAAAGTGTCCGTCACGTGATCAACGAAGTCATGTGACATCACAAAAATGCATTATTATAATACCTGATTACACTCTCGTCACAAGTTGACTGCAAATTCATACATAGATTACAAATTGAAATTAAAATGTAGCTCAAAATAAAATGGATATTTTCATGCATATTAAGCCTTCGGACAGCCTTAACATAGCTGCGTTATTAAAGAATGTACTTTTTATATGAAGTTAACAATGTCAAATATGCATATTTACCATCAAATCACTCACACAACTCAGATATCAAACATTTGTTTCATTGAAGATTTTCTTTAAACCCTCTTTAATAATTCTAAATGACTTAGCTTCTCTAAAATGAAATTCCCCATAGTATTTTAGTGTGTTGTGTTATGGCAACGGTTATTGCGTTAGCGCGGCAGTATGTTGTGAACAATGCGCGTTGCATTGTGTTTAACGCCGTGTCATAGACTTATGTAAATGACTCTATCGGCACACTATACATTCGGTATCTCAGCAAGGTCAATTTCTAAAGAAAAGTTGATACAACTTTTTTCATAAATCATGAAAATATCAAGTAAAACAGTTTTATATTAGTTAAATGAATAAGTTTAACCAAAAAAAATTAATTTTTAATTTAAAGTTTCACAATAATGTCCTATAAAATGATAAAAAATGTAGTATATATTTATATTGGTTTTTTAAAAAAGGTAACTGTTTGAACATTATAGAAAGTTTTCAATTTTTTATTATTTTAGAATTTTATATTTGCATCATTTACAACCAAAATTGGTCAAAAAATATATATCAATCCAGGCATTCATGTGTCATATGTCCTTAAAACCTGTTTTAACCGCTGTACTAAAGAGTTTTTTTTATGTTTTATATGTATATAAGAATTAATATTGAATTCCACCTTAAAGGAAGGAAGACATATTAATACTGATTTTATTTATAAATTTACTTATCAGATCATTGTCGTACATTTGATTGGATTTCCCTAATAGTCCTTTGTTCCAAATCTGCTTATCTTCCGACTGGGACTAAAAAAATGAACGTTGACAAAAGAAGTATTTCATTTTCTACAAACATACGAAAGCTATTTTATGGACATGTGGATATACATGAATAAAAGTAAACAGAAATTATGTCTTTTATAACTTTTTTCGCATTATCTGTGATTAAAGTATACTTACTAATAGGTGTAGGTACCCGACAAAGACCTAAGAGCAAATTAATTGTCATATTAATATGACTTCTCATATTACTAGTATATGATATGGCCCATCAATTCGCGTTTTATTCGATAAAATGATTGACATATATAAAATAAGTCATGAAATATCTATTATTATCTATGCTACGTTGAAAAAAGCAATTTCTTAATTGGTACATTTGAATTTCACTTTGTGGTTGCTGGAGCAATGATAAATATACATGTAATACTATAGTTTGAAATGTGTGAACATTTCATTAGTTTCTTCATACCACAAAATCAACAAAATTAACCCCCTACCACCACAAAAATCAGTGATTTCACATATTTATTAGGAAGCGTGATGTAAACTCGTTCTTAATGTCTCATATACTAGCTAATATTCTCTGTTATCCTTTTACTACAAATCGCCAATTCTTATAGAATAAACATACTATTTCAACTTTAGAAATAACAAATTGTTCTAATTACTGGAAATCATTTTTTTTAATTGACAACGTAAAATAATGCATTCAAACCTGTCGTAGCTTGGTTAAGGTGATGATCTTCGACGCATTTTAAATCTAGATGAGCTTTAAGCATGGATCTCTGTGGAGTGGACAGTGAAGGTGTCCGGGATAGGAGAGAGACATGAACAGATGTCCTGTCACAAGTTCCCTGTATTTCAGGAGCATAACACATGTACACCAGGGCAACGTTTTCGTAGTCCGTGTAAGCAACTCGTAATGCAGCTAGATGTTTTCAAAAAGTAATGATTGTAGCAAAAAAACAACATATAAAACAAGAAAGGAACTAATAATGAAACAAGCAAAGATTAATTAAAATATAGTGATCAAAGAGACAAAATACTGAGTATAAACTCAATCTTTTTTCACTAAATCGAGCATGTTACAAGTATTGTGTTTGACTTGGTCCATTTATAAAAAAAAAATTGTACATAATCTATGTGCACAATATGTACATTATGAGCATATTCTTTTTATTTTTTTAAGTTAAGCATGACGTCAACGTGTAACTTTTATACTGCATGACTTACATGTATGTCTATACTCTCATACCTATCCACTGATGTCAGTGTGAATCTTTGATACCTCATGACTTACCTTTTTACCCTCCCTCTGACGTCATTGTATAATTTTGATACCTCATGACTTACCTTTTTACCCTCCCTCTGACGTCAATTTGCAACTATGATACCATATGACTTACATTCATACTTTCCTTATGACGTCAATGTGTAACTTTGATGCCTTATGACTTACCTTCATACCTTCCCTCTGACGTCAATGTGTATGAGCCTCCAGTTCCGCTCAAGAGTCCGGTATTAGGAGCAGTACAAGACTGTGTTCGAGGACTTGAAAAATTGATTTATCTGTTGTATGTTTTGCATATTTCTTCATTCTTTTTTGCAATTAAAAGTATGTTCATGGATTAATTATTTTCCTGTCAACAAATTTAGTACTCATTGGACGTGTGAAGTCATGTAAATGATACATTTTAGAAAAAAGGTATCATTTCAAACATTAATCGAGAAATAAATATGGGCTGGTCACCTGATCAAATCCTATAAAGGCCATTGATTTGACCACAAACCACCCCGTACTTATATCATAATAAATGTTTAAAGATGATACCTTATTACTAATACGAGTATTTGCACATTGTAACAAATTATTTGCATATTATAGGTTTAAAGCTATGGAATGATTTTTTTTAAACCTCAACGGTATAAATTCATTGTATTGAACACATCGATCAATGTGAAATAACGTCGATAAAAAATGAATTTGTAGTGATGTGATGAACCTGCATGTATTTGAACAGGTTTCAATGCGCATTGCTCATGATCAAATAATTATTGCTCAGTTGCTAAGTATAACATATATTAATTATGGGAAACACTTGGAAATGTAAATATGTATGTGTAAATCTACATACGGAAAATCTTAGAAGGAATCCACGTGAATTAGAGTACTGTAAAAGTAAATATTTAAGCTTGGCCAGGGGGGATATACTCCGAGTACTCGAAAAGAATTCTTTAAAATATGATACCCGTCTTTCAATGCCGTGCATAGTTTAGAATGTCACGGCTAGTATTCAAAATTGATAACATTTGGTCCTCAGTTGCGAGCACGAGGTTTGATAAGAATGGAGCCGTACGTTGACCGAACTGAAAAAGGTGTAAACTGTAATTTGCATATCACATCAGGGACCCATAGGCCTTGACTGCGAATTTTTTATCATGATCGAGGCTATTAACATTTGGTAAATTTCTTCCAATCTGGATCAGCAGTTCTGGATTCATGGGAAATTCATTGTATTTTCTTTTGGCACAAAACTCACTGTTATTATTATCATTAATATTTAAACATATAATGTTTGTCTGCTATATGCTTGAGAGTACAATTTTTTAAAAGATACATCAAAATAAATTATGCATCTTAGATTAGTATACAGTTAAAGTATATCATTGAGGGAGTTAGAAAGATTCCAGTTCCCCAAGGCCAGGACTATTTCTCGACGCGAAGCTGAGGGAAATGGTCCTGGTTATGGGGAACTGGAATCTTGCTATCTCCCTCAATGATATACATTTAACTGTTTTATTACACCGATACAAACATAAAATTTAGAGGATTCAGATAGCGTGATTTCACAGGAGGGATTAGCTCACTGAACTAACACATGGGTATTAGTCCATTCACATATCATACCAATGTAAAAGTAAAATCTAGAGGATTACGGATAACCAGGAATTAGCTTTTGATGCAGGGATTAGCTCACTTGACTAACGCACGGGGATTAGTCCATTCATAACGATTTCTAGGGAATTAGTCACATCTAACAATCTAATGTTATATATGGAAAAAAATCAGTAGAGGTATAATAATCATACTTATAATCGTCTAATCAGCTTGAGGAACCTGAAATCAAAACGTTATGGTCGCCCGCGTGGCGCAGTGGTTAGAGCGTCTGCTCTAGAGTCGCGAAGTAAGGAGTTGATCCTTACGTCGCGGGTTCGAATCCCACTGTGGGACGTGGAGACCGGTCCTTCGGATGAGACCGTATAAACCGAGGTCCCGTGTCGCTGTAGGTGCTGGCACGAAAAAGATCCCTCACTGCTCAATGGCCATAAGTGCCGAGTAAAGGACAAAATTTGCAGCTCTCCACCGGCAAGTGGTGGCATCTCCATATGAGTGAAAAATTCCCGAGAGGAACGTTAAACAACATACAATCAATCAATCAATCAAAACGTTATGATAGAGTGTTTACTTTTAAACTTTTTATTATATAATTATTTTAATCAATTCGTTGCTCGAATCATGGACCCGGAAACATGATTTTAACAATTCATTATCTGTTAGAATCGTGCAAACATTTTGCCTGTGTGATGTACAGTAATAAAGTACATTCTTGAAGAAGACTGCAGATAGAAATATATCTCATATGATTGACCTAGAGGATCAAATCAATGGTTTTGAATTTATGGATTTGATAAAATAAATATTGAAATATAAAAAAAATCCTTTATAGTCAAGTGGTAAAGAATCTTAAAAAAAAATGTCTCGAAATCTCAATTTAATTCATTTCTGATACACTTTTCTGATACTTTTTGTTTGTTTTTCTTCTCGTTTTGAGAAAAATTATATTGAAGAGATTTATTGAATACTGGGAACTAGTATATGTATATGCTTTGAATATTCTACTTTTGTACCATAATTTCAGCATTATTTGGCATACAATTGAGTATAATCACTAGTGAATATAGAACATAGTAGCTGAATAAGTCGTACTTACGAAAACCCAGTGTAGGCCATATATAGCTGACCATCATTTCCTCGTTTAAAGGTCCATACCTGGGAATACCAGGTGCCGTCTCCCCATTGGAACGTTGTCCTTTCTAATTCATGCCATGTACCAAGAAACTGGACAAAAAAAATTAAATGTTTAGAATAATAGTATATCAACGATTTATATCTATTTATTACTAAGCTACAACTCTTACTACTACGGAAGCCCTGGAGGGACAATGACTTTTTTTATTTTAGCTTTTTGTTGCTGGTTATAACTAATGCTTAGAAAGTGTAGCTTGGCTTACGTGAAATATTAAAATGATATGTTTAGTCCTAGTTTAACTGTGGTTTTTAAGGAAACCCTGGAGGGACATTGATTTACTTCTTAGGTGTTTTGATTTAATTCTTATGACTTAATTGTAAATTCTTGTTATTTACATTTGTTACCACACGTTTACTTAACCAATAAAAAGTGGCATGCAAGATGGAGTGTAGTTTCGGAAAACAAGAATATTTTGCCTTTAAATTTATTACTAATGACAAGATGAAATAGTAGTTATGTTCATGTGTTCAATGAAGTTACAAATAAGAACTAAGTAGTATCTATTAAGTAACAAGAAATATCAAATAAAATGAACAAATAAGAATTAAGTTATAACAGCTAAGTAAGAAGATTGAACGTATAAGAATTATGAAGTAATTACAACTGTACTGGACGCGAAACAACAATGAATCAATCAAAAACCACAGTTAAACTAGGACTAAACATATCAATTTAATAATACACGTAATCACAACTGTACTGGACGTGAAACAACAATTAATCAATCAAAAACCACAGTTAAACTAAGACTAAACATATCAATTTAATAATACACGTAATCACAACTGTACTGGACGTGAAACAACAATTAATCAATCAAAAACCACAGTTTAACTAGGACTAAACATATCAATTTAATAATACACGTAATTACAACTGTACTGGACGTGAAACAACAATTAATCAATCAAAAACCACAGTTAAACTAAGACTAAACATATCAATTTGATAATACACGTAATCACAACTGTACTGGACGTGAAACAACAATTAATCAATCAAAAACCACAGTTAAACTAGGACTAAACATACCAATTTAATAATACACGTAATCACAACTGTACTGGACGTGAAACAACAATTAATCAATCAAAAACCACAGTTAAACTAGGACTAAACATACCAATTTAATAATACACGTAATCACAACTGTACTGGACGTGAAACAACAATTAATCAATCAAAAACCACAGTTAAACTAGGACTAAACATACCAATTTAATAATACACGTAATCACAACTGTACTGGACGTGAAACAACAATTAATCAATCAAAAACCACAGTTAAACTAGGACTAAACATACCAATTTAATAATACACGTAATCACAACTGTACTGGACGTGAAACAACAATTAATCAATCAAAAACCACAGTTAAACTAGGACTAAACATACCAATTTAATAATACACGTAATCACAACTGTACTGGACGTGAAACAACAATTAATCAATCAAAAACCACAGTTAAACTAAGCACTACTTGACGAAAAATGTGCTGAGAATCCCAAATTTTACTGATAACGTTTGATAATTACTGATACGGTGCTGTTCTTGCTGATAAATACTGATATTTACTGTTATTATTACTGTCGTTGCTGATAATTTTAGTTGTTTCTGATAAATACTGATAATTACTGTCGTCTTTACTGTGGAGTCTGATAAATACTGATAAATACTGTTGATGTGCTGTCGATGCTGAGATTTACTGATAATTACTGTGGTCTTTGTTCTTAAGCTGGGAAGGGCTAAAGAAGAACTGAGGGTTGTAAAAACCTTCAATTATTTCTTTCTTTTAATAATAAATTATCATTACGACATTTTCATATTTTTCTTTAAATGTTCTACTAGTGACAAAAATTACGCTATTCTCATTTACTACAATACGGTTGTGAAAATGTTGACAATAAATAAATGAAACCTTCCGCGTATATTAAGCAAATGTTTTCTACCAATCTATGAAAATAGTATAATTTTTTCTGTAAGCAAGATAAATGGAATTTTATTAATGTACTGTAAATAAAAAAAAATAAGGCTATCTTTTAAAAAGATTCATCGCCGCCCTCTCCCGACTCCAAGATATTTGGTTAGGGAGGTGGGTGATTTTTTTTTTTCAATAATAAGTATAGTTCTTAATGGGTGGAAAAAAATTCGGGATAAAAAATTTTTCCTGCAGGTTAGGAAAGTTTGATTCGCACAGTTTCACTCCGTCAACTGGTCAAGAGAAGACGACATTTTCTTTTTAAAGATGACCTTTCATATAGCTATTTTTGTTTTTTCTTTCTCAAAGACATTTATTTTTTTCATTTTTAAATGTTCGGTTTTCTGGTCTCTGTCAAGATATTTGAAAATTTGCTCGAAAATTAGAAATTTTATGCATTTTTATATTTAATAAAGAGATGAAAACAGAGTTGAATATGTTCAATCTGGAGGCACAGATTATTTATTTATTTATTTATTTATTTATTTATTTATTTATTTATTTATTTATTCATTTATTCATTCATTCATTCATTCTTTCATTCATTTATTTGAACGTAATATAGGCATTTTAGATTCTTCCAGAATATCTCTTCTACATCTACATGTACACGATACATACATGTGCAACCGGCAGATTTAGGACTGATTAAAAATTAGTGCATGGTCAGAGCGAAGGTACACATGTGTTTATGTTACATGTATTTTGATGTTGGTCTCTTAAAATTTCATGACACGAAACATTTTTATTCAATAAGTTTTAAAATCTCATTAATTTAATTTTATGGAATGTGAAATAAGAAATGAGACCTAATATAATATGTTTACTTAGTAAAGTACATGTATATGATCAAATTGATCGATTTTAATCTTGTGTGGTCAAAAATTGCATGGAATAAATTGATCTTCATTGATCAAAAATCGAAGATCAGTCTCTGATTTGGCTGTATTGTGTACAAGTCTTCCGCCCCGGGGTAGAACGGGGTACAACTTGTATATTCCATGTAAATTGTAGTGGTCAGCGTAACAATGGGCACTAATTGCCTATTGTTCCTCGTCTGCGGCCACAGGTGTACATAATAAACAAACTACCTATACTGTACATATACTTTCTTCTTTGAGCAGGAAAATCTTTACGGTCGCACGGAAAAAAATTATCCTGTAATTTGTTGACGAATAAAATTGAAAATTGAAAAAAAAATAACTATTTAGCAAAATAGGACATTGCAGTTACTGTACTAAGATAAAAAAAGAAGAAGAAGAAATAAAGTTATATACATATACATTATACAGACTTAATATTCAATAATTATTTTAATTCACAGAAATCTATCTTTGTTCAGTATTTAATTTTATTTGTTAGTTTTATGCACATTTCTTGACATGCTTGAGATAAATTTAAAAGAAAATTCCGGGGAGGGAGCTACATGTACACTACGGTCAACGCGGATCCCGTATTTTCCCGCGCCCCCGCGATGGTGTTTTAATCCTTTCCCGGATACACCGTCGCGGTTTTATCATCGCGGTGATCGCGGGGACACGAGATTACCGTGACGGTGTGCTATACCGTATTTTACTCAATGTGAAGTCAATAATCCTTAATGTCAAAGTAAGGATATTTAATTGTGAATATATAAGATCGGTTTGTTTTTTTTTTTAAATTTGGCTCAAACATGTTAAAGTCATATATGGCGTATTTCTGATATCAGGCTTACTAAAATTAAAAAGATCTTTCTATTTGTTTTATTTATATAAAGATAGGACTTTCCTGTAAATTACATAATTTAAATCAATCGCGTTTCATAGATATTAGAAATTTAAAACAATCTCGAATTTTTATTTTTTAGCTCAGATACGCGATATGTAGCTTTAAAATTATCGAAATAATATATAAAATCTTCTTTTTTGTTTAGTCTAAAGGGTGATATTTGAATGATACTTGGCATTTATTCTATCAAAATATTATCATTGTTGCAGTTTCTAATAAGTAACCTGAATTATAATGAAAAGATCTATAACTCAACATAATTTTTTTTTATTGTAGTAAATATCGATCCGATTTATATTACGTCCTTTTTTCATCATAATAGTTTTTTCATACAGTATTACTGCAGTTTTTTTTTTTCGAATTGAAAATTGCATTGTGTATATCACTGGAAAAAAAAAATAAAATGAAAACACAAAATATCACGCCAAAATACCTCTTCCAACATGTTCAAATATTATTTATTTTCAATAATCCCGAATATTTGAATTAACGATATTGATCACCACCTAATTTGTTAGAATTATGGGCATGAATGAAAAAAAAAAAAAAACAGCTCTGTTCATTATGTTCATATATTCTAAGAGAAGTCGATAATAGTCATTTTTATAAAGCTAAAAGAATTAAATGGTTTCGTTCTCAGCTGATAAGTTGAAACTGACCAAACACGTGTACATGTATTACACAATCACAGCGTGTGCAGTGGGGCGTAGCTAATCCTATCGGTCGCCCACAATAAGACTATGGGTTCTCGGAAAATTCACGAGAAGATCATGACAAGCCCTTTTACGATAACCGTGTTTTCAAGCTGTAAAAACTGCATGACCATATTTCAGTAGCTGGTCTTGACACTTTGATCACCCATCATACATAACTGTAGGTTATATCAACTGATCAAATGGCAATCTTGCAATCACAAAAATATCGTTATACTCGTATAAAGAATTTTAAAAAAACAAACAAACAAACAATAAAATTCTTCTTTTTTATTGGTCGGCGATCTTCAAAAACTTGGGACTGTCAGGGTTATCATTGAAACCAAAGTGAAAGGTTATTACACACTTTAATTTTGGGTAGAGAAACATGAGAATTAGTTTGCAGTGTGTGTGGGAGGGGGGGGGGGTTAAGAATAAAAATCTAAAATAAATGGCGAGGCATATTTCAGGAAACTTGTATGTATGTATATGTTTACACTATACTGTATATATTTATTTGATCAACACACTTCAGAAATACCCAAAATGTACATAGCATATCTTTAGAAAATAATCAGTAAATATGAACAGTCTGATTAACCCCCCCCCCCCTTTCTCCTATCGTTGTCGATATGTGAATATGAGATACTTATTAAATCTATTTTTCTATATCATATTAATGCACAACACTTGCTGTTTGTTCAAACTTTCAAATTCTGGAGGAATTCTGAATGAAATTTCATTTTTCTAATAGTTGTTGAGGATTTATTGTTGTATTGAATGAATGGAAAATTTTGTATAAAATAATTTGCTACTTATAGAATGGACAAATTATTTTATAGTTTGCGATGTATTTCAAGTTTTACGAAACAGACTCCTATTCAATATGAATGCAAAATTTTGCATGTCCAGGTATACAATACAGGTAAATCACATCTAATCTATTGTTGTGCAGACTGCAGAGGTATGTGTATATGTATTACATAACACTTCCTGTCTGTGTCAGTGCCAAGGTTCTGACTGTGCGTACTACAAACTCGAATCTAGCCCGGGGGCACATAGAACCTTCTGTTCCAATTGTATTTTATCAGTGTAAATTAAATTTCAAAATCGAATGTTGCATATTTGCACATGCTGTAACATCCTCTGAGGTATTAATAACCTTTTTTGCCTGTAACTGAAGGTAAATAAATTTAAAAAAAAAAACGCGTAAATTCAGGGAGGGGTATCACATGCATGAAGATAATGTGTGATGTCCAGAGCATGGGAAGTCAGTCGCTAGGGTAACCGTCAATAGAAAACAATCAACCAAATAAAAACTTAAACTAACTTTGAATCAGTTTTGATTTTTTGAAGTATCAGTTGATTATAGACCGAAAATTAATTAAATTTTCAATCAAAATAGGGTGAAGCTTGCTATTTACGAATAAACATGTATCTAAAGTAAATTAAAGTTTGATGATAATATTTATAGACAGGATAGATATTTTTTAAATGATAGTTTGTTTGTAATACCTGGATAAATACCGTACAAAGCGCACTAGATTGGAAGTCATGAAAAAGTCTAGTATACATGTTGTACGTTCATACGTACTTTTTCAAGTTTAAAATTTTCAAGGAAACTTGAATTACGAATAAGGAATACAGAAAAAATATCCATTCCTTTGAAGATTTTATTCTGAGCGCCTTTTTTTTTTAATATTGCGGCTATTTTACTTATTTAAAATGGTTAAATGAAGGAAAAGTTGTTTTCATTTGACAATTAATTAAATCAGTGAGTTATCGGATGATCAATAACTGTGACCTACAAAATTAATGCATAATTATGTATAATTACGGATAAGTTAAGAACAATAAATGAACACACAATATATACATGTATATATATATTTAGTTGTCTCCATATCATGCATTCTTCCTTTCCTTTTTTTTTATTTTTGAAAGAGGCGTGAAATAAAAAGATAAATTAGTCAGATATAAAAAAGGAGACCTAAATAACTGCTAAGACTGTTTTTTTTTTTTACTTCTCTGTTGTGTTTTTTTTTCCTCGTCGGGGGAGGTAACTCGCGTTTATGAAGAGAATAATTTTTTCACCTGAGACGGATAACGCAAACCGCGATGGTGTGGATTAGTTGAGGACCCGTGCCGCGAGAACACGCGGTTTTACCTGAGTTACCTGTGTTAAACCGCGATCAATTTCACACCGCGAGGACTCGCGGTAAATACGGAAACCGCGTTGACTGTAGTGTATTTTCAATTCTGAATGGTTTTGGGCCCGTGAAACGGAGACGAGAAATTGATATGGAACATTTGACTTCCTCTTATAATTAAAACATTATGCAAAATGTACATATAAATTAAAATAAAATTAAATGGTTTAGTGAAAGCAATTATTGAAATTTAGCATTAACTGTTCACAATTCAGAAACAGGAAATTAAACTCTACATCGCTCAAAATCTTTTATGAATTTTGAATGACAGTAACATGACGTTGTTTATCGCACTCATGAAAAAATGTTATAGTTCTGAAATTGGTATCGTTCATTGATTCTCTAAAATAATTTTATTCATGTATATAAAAAAATGTAATAAGTAATTATAACATGTATGACTTATTAAACATAAAACTAAAGAATCAACCTTGCGCGTAACAGTTTTAAGTTAACAGTATCCCCCCCTCCCCTTTTGTGCTACAATAAAGCATAATCAAGTCGGTAAGCGCCCGGCCTAAACTGTTCGAAAGGTCTCCGACAAGGAGAAAATGGAATTAAAAAACATTATAATCTCTGTACAAAACTATTTCTAATTTTACAAAATTCATGTCGCACGATACACAGAATGTACTAATAATTGACCTGATTCTCAAAACGAAAGTAGAACTTTTACACGTGGTTGACATTTGTGTTCCAGAACAGCAATTTAGCTAGACGGCATTAATGGACGAAAGTAACTTCAAGTTTTGTTTTATTTTATTTTATTTTTTTAACTGACTGACCGCGTATAACATGTATAAACAGTTATTTATTGATCTCCCTGATACTGGCGTACGTCCATAGACCTAACGCAGATATCAAAGAATTAAAGAAAGACGTGTATTTCATTGATTGAAAATCACACTGCATAAGATTTATAGTGTACTGATGGCTTAACAATTAAAATAAAAAAAAACGAAAAAAACGAAAGATAGAAAGCCTCAATACCACATAATGATATCAAATTCGCATCGAGGACATAATCAGAGAAGTAGAGCGCACTGTATATAAAAGAGATTATTATACTTTCATGTTAAATACTAAAATCTGATTGGTTTAGACGCATTTAACAATCCGTAATGTTACCCTCAGCGTTAGCAACACACTTGACAACGGGTAACATTACGAAAATATCACATCCCCCAAATCATGCGCGTACGGTTCACCGTAGAATTCTCAAAACGTCGGTTGTGCGTTTGAAAGAAGCCGAATAAACGACGTCAATATAAGCTTGCGTCCGATGTAGCTTACTTGAAAACAACAAACGACAGACGAAACATCCTTGCGAGTGCAAACTTTAGATGATAAAGGACTTTTTGAGTAGCAAACAAACAATAAAGAGGTTGGTAAATCTTTTCCGAAGCTTTCTTATTGAGAAAAATAGAAGCGGGGAGTTTGAAAGCTTTCTAAGCGTGACCTTAACGACGATCTCCGAATTTTTTTTATGACATCCGAAATCAAAAAGACATTCAGTATAATAAAATAAATAGTGCACGTTTTTGAGGGTAACAGTTGAAATTGACACCCCTCGGAAAACCATTGTCAACCTCCGCTGACGCGTCGGTTGACAATGGTTTTCCTTGGGGTGTCAATTTCAACTGTTACCCTCAAAAACGTGCACTATTTAAATATTATTCTACAAATTAAAGATGTTTTATTTTTATTAATTAAACCTGTCACATTCTTCAATAAAAGGACATAGTGTACACAACATAAAATCAGAACAGATTTTTTTGTGAGATATATTTAATACTGGCTAAAGTGTCTTGAAATGAGAGTTATATGTAAATAGAGGGGGGGGGGGGTCTCAACTTATAGAGCGCACACATGTTCAGTTCTCCACACGAAAAAGTAAATTGACAATAACAACCATTGACTATTAAAGATGCCCTCTAAAAGCTTTTGATGACAATACAAATACACGTGGAAAAAATCTGAGATGGGATTTTTTTCCAACCTTTAAAAATAAAAACTTGTTTTAAAAAGTACTTGGGGAGAAAAACCACTGCAATAATTATTTTTTCCGCAGATATTGAAAATTTTGTGAAAGGAGAAATATAAAGGTAAAGAAAAACACAAACATTTATGATCTAATTTTAACATTATAATGTAAAAATGATTATAATAGAATTAATACATGAAATATGAAAACAAATAAAATGTGACTTTTTTTCTAGAATAATTTTTTTTTTATTAGAATACTGTAATGAATTTGTTGATAAAATACTTTCTTTAAAATAAATAATCATTTCTTAGGCTATTTTAGTCCCTTCCCAGATTAAAAACAATGACCACAGTAATTATCAGTAAATCTCAGCAACGACAGCACATCAACAGTATTTATCAGTATTTATCAGACTCCACAGTAAAGACGACAGTAATTATCAGTATTTATCAGAAACAACTAAAATTATCAGCAACGACAGTAATAATAACAGTAAATATCAGTATTTATCAGCAAGAACAGCACCGTATCAGTAATTATCAAACATTATCAGTAAAATTTGGGAGTCTCAGCACATTTTTCGTCCAGTAGTGAAGACTAAACATACCAATTTAATAATACACGTAATCACAACTGTACTGGACGTGAAACAACAATTAATCAATCAAAAACCACAGTTAAACTAGGACTAAACATACCAATTTAATAATACACGGAATCACAACTGTACTGGACGTGAAACAACAATTAATCAATCAAAAACCACAGTTAAACTAAGACTAAACATATCAATTTAATAATACACGTAATCACAAAACCAAACTACACGGTCTTAATAGCTACCTTTCACTTAGTTATATAACCAGCAACGAAAAAGTCAAAACAAATAAATAACAACAAATAAGCTAAAATATTAATGTCATAATAACAAGTACGTCTGTGTCCCTCCAGAGCAAGAATTAAAATAAGAATTAAAAACAAAACTGAACAGGCAAACAACATACTTACTCCAGTTTCATTAAAGTTGTTTACTAAACGCGTGCCATCAAAATCACATCTAACTGCTTGTAAGTCTCTGATGTTAATTAAAAGTACAAAAGATAAAATCAATGTAAGGTAATGTTTAAACATGTCTAAAACTAATATCTCGAAAATTCCCAACTTATACAAAACTTCTCAATTGTCTGTACATTATCTATCAAGATTATGATCGTGAGAACTATGTCTTTAAGAACTATGCCTTTCTTTTGTTAGATAATGAAATTTACGGCACGCCAGTTGGATCAAAGAGTTTCTTTTTTCTTTTAGACATATTAGTAACATACAACTTTCGATACGCATGATTCATCTTTTGGAATATGATTGGTGATACTATGTACGAACAATTTCTAAGACGAGGAAAGCTACTGACAAGCAAATTGATGACAGAATCATATCAACAATCTCGCATAAAGTCAACATTTGGCAAAATCTGTGGTCGACAAAATGACTTGTTATACCTTTAAAAATTAGTTCCTATATAAATCTATACTACAACAAGTGAAAATAAGACGTGTTTGGGAAAGATTGATGCCCCCGTTTGACAACTTACAGCGAAGGTTAAACTTTCTCAAATGCAAATCAGGGGTCCGTTTTACAAAACAACTTACGACTAAGACCAAAATTTAATTCTGCTTATAACTTTTTAATTTACATTATATTGAAAATGGTTTTGATCTTTTTAAAAGGAATGTAGTAAGTTATTTTTACGCTAGCAATTTTAAACAGAATCATTGATTTTGCAAAATTTTACAATCAACTTAAATTTTTGGTCTTAGTCGTAAGTTCTTTTGTAAAACGGGCCACATATATGTTGGTACCCAAAGTACAATGTAAGGTCTTGTCTCGAGGAATATATCTGTGAAATATGAAAGCACTAGCTGCAATCATTGATGAAAACATATAGAAAATTTTAAAGTTTTTCAAAAGTAAGTCAAACATCAAGGTCAAATGGTCAAAATAAACGGTGCCCAAGGAAATGCCTTTTCACAAGAAATACACGTGAAATATGAAAGCCCTAGCACCAACCGTTCAAAAGTTACGGCCAAGGTTAAAGTTTTTCAAAAGTAGGTCAAGCTCCTAGGGTCAAAGTTGTTAGTATCCAAAGTAAGATCTTGTCACAAGGATTACATACGTGAAGTATAAAAGCCCTAGCTCCAACCGTTCAAAAGTTATGGCCAAGGTTAAAGTTGGATAAAATTTTGCCAACCTGGGACAAACTCCAAGGTCAAAGTCAATAGGTCAAATATGATCGTACCCAAAGAAAGGTTTTGTCACAAGAAATACACATGTGAAACATGATAGCCATAGCTTCAACCAATCAAAATTTGTGGCCAAGGTTTAAGTTTTTGCGGACAAACAGACAGCTAGAAAGAATCTTCGATAACGGGGGTATAAAAAAGTCTAACATTTCTAATGTTTTACTGAGCGGTTTTTAAAAAAATGATATTTGACCGCCGAGTGAGATATTGGACCTGTGGACGAGATATTGGACCGCTTACGTCACACTGTGGGTGGGATCAGGAAAATCTTATCTGCATTCGATGGTATAGAAGCCAGCAAAAGATACATGTATAACAAAAAAAAATGAATAAATAAATGAAAGGTATAACAAAACATTTATTGAATGTGTTCTCGGGCAAAATGCGTTTTGTCGACCCTCAAACAGTTTGGTTCTTTGGTCATACAAAAAAAGCATGTTGCCCTTAAAACCCAGTCAATAAATGTATATTATTTACATATACAATCTATTGTTAGGTCGAATATTGACTGAATTTTTCATATAAATTGTTTATTAGGCCATCATTTTCATATTAAATTGTCTTAAGCTGATCATGACAAGAGGGCTCATGGGCGGGTGTGACCAGTCGATAGGGGATGCTTACTCCTCCGTAGTTTCTTATCCCACCTGTGATGTTTTCAGAGATCCTTGTCTTGCTCTGCTCACAAATTGTATTGTTTATATGGTATTTTGGTCATAATTTTTTTTTTATATATATTCACATCATTAGGGTTAGATTCTTATTAATTCTCATTTAACCTTTCTTAATAAGCAATCAGCAGCAAGGACCAGAGTGCCCAATATATTTTGTAGAATATCGAGATTTAAAATATATTTATGCGAATAATAAAACAGTCTTTATTTCATGCATCAATATTTAACAACCAAATATTAAATTAGAAAGACAATCCAAAACAATGTAAACTCTATTCCGTAACAATGTAGGAATCTATGAACTGCAGATGAGTGGAGAATAGAAATAACCAATGTAAGCCTTAAATCCTTTGTTATCTCATTGTTTATTAATCCTCTAAATCTCTCAAACATCTAAACACAGAAACATGTCTACTGTGTCTATAAATATCTAAACAGAGACACAGGTCTACATCTAAAGACAGAAAATCGTCTACTCCCTATCTCTCTCTCCAAATATCTTATCACAGAAACCGTCTCTACTGCCTGTCTACAAATATCTAAACACAGAAACACGTCTACTGTCTCTACACCCGACCAAGAGAAGATTGTCTTTTGTGTTATAACTCAGACAACATGGTTCATCTATCTTATCTTTCACTGTAAGTAAAAGCCGAAGAAAATGGCCGTTTTGGTCAATCATTTGAACGGTGTCTGTTTTATAATCGCACACAAGGATGTTCAGTATTGCGTCTGTACAAAGTCCTCTCGGCCAAAATTCTGAACTGGAGGGGGGTCCTTTATAGGAAAAGCGATGTTTTGCTCTATGATCCGTCACCACCACTGCATTTTTACTATGGTCCGACACGATCACGTCCCCATTGCAGTTCTCTGTGATGTAGCGAGGGTATTGATAAAGGGCTTGGCCTGCTACACCGAGGGAAAAAGATTGCATTTCACTGCCAGAGTAATTTAATCGCACTACTTTGGCTTCTAAAGTCGAGTTTTCCTCAGACCCCTGTTTTTTTCTCATCATACCAACTAGAATATCCCCGGTTAGTCTGGACGCGTAGATACTACAAGGCATCCATGGATCTTTGTTTGGAAGAAGAATATTCTTTTTCTTCAAATCGACAGAAAGTTTACAAATATTTGTCTCTTTGTCGATGAAAATCAACTCTTCTTCTTTGGTCACAGATTGTATGGCCCATTCATCCGAAATGTTAGACACTTGATGCAAAGTTTTTCCAGAACTGTCCGACAAAATAATATTTTCATCTCTTACCCAAAACTTGTTGGATGAGACATGAGAAATCTGGTAGCATTCGTTGACGCCTTTGACCTTGATGGATTTCACCTTTTCAGCTCCATCCATTACTTGGAGATTCGGAACATCGTAAGAAATGTACTCACTTTTCTTGGTTTGCCTTGGTTCATTTCCTGGTACTTCTTCTATATGACCTAAATATTTGATAACATCTTCCATTGCTATGTTTTCCTCGGTTAGAAGTGGTAGGGGTATGTCCATTATGTGGGGAACATCGTCCTTTTCTGAAATTGGATTGTCTCTAAGGTAGAATAGAAATTCTGCTGGTTTGTTATCTGATTGGTCAAACCTTTCAACCATAGTTTTGAGATGGGCTATATAATTGGTGATTTCACAATCCTGTTTTTCTAGCTCCGATTCCTGTAATTTTCGGATTCCGTTCAAGCTTCTTTCGTTTTCCTCGATTACATTCTCAATAAGTGCTTTCATTTTCAAACCTCTGGATGTCAAGAGAGACAAAATCTGATCAATTTCTTCTTTGCGCGATAACAAGTCCGCTTGAATATCTTGCTGCATAGATATGCAACGGGGCAAAATTTCCTTTCGGATTTTAGATACCCTTTCTTTGCACTTTTCTCTGATCGTGTGACACGCATTTTCCAAGTTCATAAAGCTATGCTTCTTGTGTTTTGAGTCTTCTCTACATATTTCACAGATAGGAAGTTGACATTGCTGACAGCACAGGCTGTAAACTTGTCCACTATGTATGGAACATTTCTCCTGGATAAAGGTTGCTCCATATTTTTCTTGTAGGAGCACAATGTCATGAGAAGCACTGGCTGTATTTTTAAGATGATCCCTTTCACAAATTTGACAAAGATCCTTTTTGCAATTTTTGCAGTAAAATTCAGCATTTTCTTCGCACTTCGAACATTCGACAAAATGCTGTGCAAAAGCCGTTTGTGCCATTTGTTTGATTTTTTCCGTAATAACTTGCGTTAGACAACTGAATTCCAAACAAAAACGGCACTGGTAAGTTCGAGTAAATTTGCCAATGAATTCGGGTAGTATATATAATTATACCTCAAGATCTCTTGTGGGCTTTGGAGGTTTAAATCACACTAAACAGCTAAAGGTATGCATAACAAAACTTGAGAAGTATTGATTACTAGCAGACGTAGGTTATCGTTCGAATTCAGTATCAATTTATATATCGCAAGCTTTTACCCAATGACAACAAATCTAATGCCTGAAATGTACAAAACAATTAGTTTGAGTAAATTTTACAAGTAGACGTCTAGAAGTATGTTTGGAATACCTTGATAAACAATAGAACTGCTTTTTAAAAAATGTGAAATAATATGACCATCATTAAGGCAGTTATCTCTTTGTGTGAACCTAATTAGGTTATAATTAAGGGGTTTAAATCGCATTGGCGGAATAAATAAATATATCTACGGGTAGCGTTTCAAATTAGTTATCAGTTTATTTACTACAATCCTTTATCAAACGACATCTAAATCTATAAAAATAATGCCTGAACTGTACCCAACATTTAATGTTTCAATAAACTTTAAAAACAGAATTTTAGAAGTTTGGAATATCATGATTTAGGAAGCACCTGCTCTTTTTAAAGCCCCTAACATAAAAGAGTATAATTTATATATTTTTTTTATTTAGCTGACAGCAACACAAGAAAGAAATTTATTTCAACATATACATCTAAGTTAAATTCAGATCTTCCAAACTGAAGGACTATTAGATATCATGTGTATATCCAGCTCAGTTTTGTTTTAGTTATTCCAAGTACCTGGTAGTATTCTTCTCGAAAATACTGTGGTAAAAGTAGACCACAAATTTTAATAAAATCGTCTATACTAGTATATGTATTAAACATACGATGTAGTTATCATTACATGAAATTTATTATCATTGGTAAAGTTTATCACTAATTATTTGAATTGGGAAAAATTTAAACAATTGAAGACTACATTAATTGTAACACAAGTTACAACTGTGCGTTAGATTACATTCGAATTCACCATTGTCTGATAATAAATCCATGCAATGTGAAGTGCATAAAAATCATTAAATGATAATCTTACCACAAAATAATTTATAAGTGATTTTTAAATACATTTGCTTAAACAGCTAGCCACATTGACTTCCTTGATATGAGGAATATAAATACAATGTACGGTCAAACCTTGTTTAAGTGAACTTGATGGAATATCTGAGGATTCTCGATATGGAAGTTAAAATTCAGAAAGTAAAGGTCGTTGGGACCTCCAATTTACTTTGACACTTTTATGGTATTCGACATATTGAAGTTTGTGTCAATTATCAAATTTCAACTGGACCTTGAAAAGTCAAAATAAGGAAAACTGCAAAGTATTCTATCCATAACTTTACTGAACAATGGATTACTACTTTTTTTTTTTAAATCAATTTTATTGTCAGTTTTGAAGGCATCAACATCATGAATTACAAATTTGAAACAAAGGACGGAGAACTAAGTATATATTAAATATAAAACCAACAACACTAACTGTAAATCAGTGAATCACAGGACTAACACAACTGTCAAATAATATCACATGATACATTATATAAAAATACTGCATCTCTTATATACATTATAATAATGTACATCAATAAACAGAGATCTAATGATAAAGTAGACCTGATTATGTCCCCTTTCATACAATCTACAACAATTTACAAGGACTAAGATGATTCACGATTATTTTCAGATCTGGTCATAACCCTACCATAGTACATTAATAAATACAGAATCATACATGTATATTTATCTGGTTTTTTTTTTTTAAGTTCTTTGCCTGATAGAATTGAACAAAGAATGCAGGATGGATATCACTCTAAACATAATGTGTCATTATATTGCACTTTCTTGTCATTTTACATATACATGTATCAGCCAACTAAAAACAATATCTTAATCCAGAATTTTTACAACTATAATCATTTGAATATTGAGAATAGTTTTCAAGAAAGGTTTTCAATCAGATTATACAATTTTGTACCATTTTAAAACATGCAAATAAATAAAATTAAATTCGTTGCATTCCATAGTTATCACGTGATCACAAACTATATATATCCTCACTCATTCATGTTCGATTATCGAGTCTGGCTATAACCTACGGGTATACACGTATATTTAAAAATAACATAAACATTATGTATTTGATATTTTATGTATGTTTACACTTCTGAATGTATTGATTAACGAAAGAATTATTTATAATAGACTGAATCAGTATTATAATCATATAAGGCAGTGCAAAATAAAAGGTTATAGTGAGTACCATTCCTAACATATGAGTTCTTTTCATTACTCTCATACTTAGAATATAATTGTTTTATATTCGGACGAACATAGTGAGGGAGAATATAATATGAATTTCATATAGACTAATTAGGAATTTTTAATGCCCTCTTTCTGCACAACAATGTATAACCATTTCTAATAAATTCAAAGCAGCCAATTGAAATAAAGTTTTTTGTGCACATCTTTAGTATGTGTAACAAAATCTGACAGGAATAGTAATGTCCTAAATGACTAAAATAAATTATTTGTATTTGTTTCAGAATTATGGAACTTCAATGCCTTAAGAATGCAATGTTCATGATTCAATACCAAAACAAAATGAAATCTTACACTTGAATAGAATTACAAAAACATTTTTATAGGACTTTTAATTTGCCAAGATGTTAAAAACCCTGTAATTAGATGATTCTTTAATTAAAAAACTTGTTAAATTTTTAATAGTGTCCTGCTGTTTCAGAATCAACAACACTCATGAACTGCTCCTCTCCAAGATTCACGTTATCAAGGTTGGCTGCCGATTTCTTCTTAGCTAGGTACTCCTCTAGGTTTTTCATTACTGCATGGGGATTCCTCTTCGCATGATTTTCAATATCTGTCAGTGTTTTAAAAAAACATTCAATTATGTAAAATTGAGTATCAACATCATACCATCATGTGTAATTATTTTGATTTCCACTTTGAAATCTTTTTGTCATGTGTAATTTCAATCATCAAATAAACTTATGAAGTATAACTTGCTTTCAGTGAATACCTCAAGCTCTATGAAAAGTTATTGTTATTTCTGATCAATGTTCTTTTTTTTCATTATTGACACTGAAATAATTGGATATACATTTAACCAGTTGTCTTTAATAAGCATGCTGACATTAATGAACCAATGAAGGCTACTTTTACTGAACTTTAAGTTACACGTTTCATAAACTAGATTATGATTGGATAGAATTTGCCACCTAACATTGGGGTACTTATGCTGTAAAACAAAGCCTGGGTCAGAGATGGTTTTCCCCTGGGATACTTACGCTGTCAAACAAAGCCCGAGTCAGAGATGGTTTTCCCCTGGGATACTTAAGTTGTAAAACAAAGCCCGAGTCCGAGATGGTTTTCCCCTGGGATACTTACGCTGTAATACAAAGCCTGAGCAGAGATTGTTTTCCCCTGGGATACTTACGCTGTAATACAAAGCCTGAGCAGAGATGGTTTCCCCCTGGGATACTTACGCTGCAAAACAAAGCCCGAGTCAGAGATGGTTTTTCCCTGGGATTTCCACACCTGGTACATCTGGAGATATAGACCAGTGTAAAAATCACATACCACAGGAAGGACCTCCTTCTGTTTATTGCACTCTCTGAAAATTAAAGCACTTAGATGTTTATAGTATGTCATATGCTGCTTTTTATTATAAACAAACCAACATGCATCTTCTGAACACTTCTCTGATCTGTCCATGTATATCAAAATCTTTTATGTCCATACACAATTGAATGTGTTTAAAGTTTTGTTATGTCATATCTTCTGCAATATTACATTTCTTCTTACTGGTTAAGAAGTACATATTTATAAGACATTTCATTCCTTACTTGTTGAGACAGCCTTCTCTGAGAGCCTGGAGGGCGATTCTGGACAGATTAATGGACATTACACAGAATGGGAAGTTCTACAATGCACAATTTATAACAGGAATTTTTGAATGCACTAATAAAAACATATGACTGTTATGTGTATCAGTTGATTAAAATGACCTCTTAGACTGTAAATTTCATGGTACAGTATGATATATATATGTACCTATGTATGATATGAATACACTTATAGTGATATGAAATTGTTCAATAAGTATTGGAATAATACACAGTCTACAAAATTTGACAACCACAATTTTCCCCCTTCTTACATAAATTCTTTCTAAGACCTGAGTTAGTATAACTTTACATGTGCTGAAGACGGGATGTATAAATTCCATTAAGATAGCTATAGCTATATTTATACCTGAGTGGGGTGAAGAGAAAGCTTGTAAATTTCACTGGCCAGCACTTGTCGCTTGGCATCACGCAACAGGTAAATCAAATGTAACAGTCCCAATAATCCTACACCTCTCAGATCTGTTGATGGATCCCTGCCTGAAATGTAAAAGCAAATAGATCAGATTTAACCACCTCAACCTTCATCACCCAAACCTGCTGTTTGACAACTCCATTGTATACAACAACCACAGTTAGTGAAAATTTTGTCTCACTTATCAATATCAAATAGCTATCTCGATAGATCTACAGTAGATAAGATGTTTACCATACCATTACAGTATCAACTTAAACTGCCTGGTAAATTGTTATAACTTGATAAATAGATAATGTATATGATAAATAGATTATGTATATGATAAATAGATTATGTATATGATAAATAGATTAATTTGATTTTCTATGTACATGATAAAAAGATTAATTTGATTTTTCAAAACTTACCCTGAAATCCTATTTCCTCCCAGTGGTTTCCAAAGCGAGGACAGTCGAACCTTGACCCTGTAAGACTGCGATAAATTGTCTGTAGAGACCTGACATGGATCTGGTTAGAATTCTCCAGCACCGCTGGAAAAATGAAAAGATTCAAAACTGAAATTGTTGGAACTCAATACATGGGATGAATGAGATAAGTTCACCATTTTAAGTTAGAGTACATATGGTTGTGCTGGACAACATTTCAATTTTGTTGCATTTGAAGCTTTTAAATTCTTTAAGTACTGCTAGTTATGTATATGTGTTTTTTTATCATCCCCCAAATAAAATACATGCAGAATTTTTTAACAAAGAATGTAGATATCTGGATTGTGAAAGTTTTGGGAAATAGCTTTTTTAATTTATGAAATAAGATCTTTGAAATCAAGGTTTCAAATTTTGTCATTAAAAGGTTTTTTTTTTTTTTTTATTTAACTACTTACATGCAGCTATACAAAATATCCTATCTCTTTCCTCATGTAGATTTTTATGTAGTTTTGGTGGTCCAAAGAGGAAGTATTTCAGTGCAGAAAAACCATGACGTTCTACTGTTGTCCGAATTTTGTCCTGAAATCATACAAAGTACCGAAAATTAGTCTAACATAGAGCATCTTTCTCCAAAAGCTAATACACAACATGACTTATCAGGGATCGACATTAACGATTGTCCGATTGCCCGGGACAAGTAAATTCTCAGTTCGGGCAAGTGAAATTGTCGACGTACTTGTCTGATCAGGCAAGTGAATTTTTCTCATACAAATGTACACATTTATGTAGTTTACATTAATTTATAACTAAAACAATAAATTGAACACCTGACTGACAACATTTTTGCATTTGGAATTCCTTGGTAGCGTTTCTGTATTGTATCGTTCATTTAAAAATTGGCTTTGTCATTTTCTTCCGTAGTAAATACACTATATATATGTCTAACAAAATTTTGTTAAGTAAACATCTTAATAGAAAATTAGATTATTTATTCATGCACAGAATACATGTATAAGTGCAGTGTAACAGGATGTATCCTGATCAAGATAGGATGTATGTTTCGTAGCAACTAGCTTCCTTCAGCTTTGCTTCACAGTTATCTCTGAAAATCATGATTCACAAAAGGATCCTACCGAAAATAATTTTTAAAAATATGAATTTTATTAAAAGGAAATGGAGGGGTATTGCTGCATGGCAGTGTGTGTTAACAGGTTAAATTTACAAGTACAGTGGTATATGTACAAATGCAGCATCGAAAATTTTTCAGGTTGCTCATCTTGCCAAATTGACAGTAGTGTATTTGGTCACATTTTTTCTTATCATAACGTTTACAGTAATTAATAATTTTCTTCTTAGGTTCTTTCCTAATTTTGGGCAACCAAGTTTTGCATTTGCACAAGTCAAAGTTTGAGATCACTTGGCTGAAGGGCAAGTGAATCTGAAAGTTAATGTCTATCCCTGCTCATTCAATTTCATACTTGCATTTATCAATTGTTGGGTTTGACAGGCAAGTAAAAAAGGTAACTATGTAGTTATATTTTGGTTCGAATTGGCACTGACCATTTTCTTTATTGTTGGAGGCTGTGTAATACTGACCTTTACTCCTGAGAAATCCTCGGAGACAAAGTGTTCCGACATCTCAAAGAAAGACAGCATTGGGGCATTGGTCACGACACTCTCTGTGGACAGAATAAAAGGTTTATTATATTTGCCTCCAAACCAAAAGCTATTCAGAAAGATTTAAATTTGATCATTATTATTCAAAGATGCATGTACCAAACTGTTAAGTACTTAGCATTCATCAGTTTCTTCCTTTTTTTCTCTTTTTTTTTTAATTATCTTGGTTTTTTGTGGTGGTACAATTTCTTTAATTATTCAAATCAATTCTTAATTTACTGGGTTGGGTGGGAGTGCAGTCTATTAAAATCAAACTTCTTAGATCTTGCACTCTGTGTACATGTAAGAGTGTACATGGCACGATCCAAGACATCAGATTTTAATTAGATTTGGTGGGGAGAGGAGGGGGGGGGGGGTAACCTTCTTAATTTCTTTTCTTAGGGATTCAATATCTTTGATCATTTATATCAATTTTTATTTATTTTTTCTTTTCTTTTTTTCCTTTTTTTCACATGGGGGGGGGGGGGGGATTACATTACCTTTCTTTTTGGTATCATTCTCATCCACAAACCCTATAAACAAAAAAAGATTTTAGCTACAAAAATCTACAATTGATTCTTTCTGGTACACATTCAGTAAAATGTCAATATTTCAAACACTATATTGGGATATGAAGATGATGTTTACCTGCTTCAATGGTCTGCACCTTGTCCCACTCGTCCTCGGCACGATTGTTCACATGGAATGTTTCAGATATTGCCCCATTTTCACAAACCTATCAAATAAAAAAATTAAAACTTTTATCTTTATCCATATGTGATACACTTTAAATGCAAAATCAAGATCATAAACATTATTGCATTAATATAGAATATAAAATGATGAATACTTTAATTCTATTTTAGAGAAGTATTTAATAAATCTACTCATTTCTAAAGATGCAAATATTTATCCTATAATCAAACAAAAGGTGGTGTCCAAAATCATATGGGCCACGATAGAGTCATTGCTTTACCATTGGCAACAATTCTTCCCTTGTGTTCATTGAAGCTGATAATCTCAGTAGATATGCTGTATACCTCACCCCTAAAGTTTACCTGTTTCAATACAGAATTCCCTATTTCAGAAACGGTCTGACCCTGTGAGGTCATTTTCTGTCTGTAAGATGTCACACGAGATGTTCCTTGACTGGCCAAATTCTCCCCAGGAACATTTCCTCCTGAACTAACTGGGACATCTGTACCAGACACAACTTTCACAGTTGGTTGATTTTCTACATTTGTAGATGGACTTAGAGATTCTGTAACAGTCTGAGATTTTAATGCAGGGAATGGTAAGCTAGAATCTTTTGTTTTTGAGAGATCGGTTTGAGCAGTGAGATTCTGCGGTGTGTTTTTACTTGTAGGTACATCAAAATCGAATTCATCATCTGAGTCCTCACAACTCTTTGTTCTTGAGTTGTTTTCAATTGTCAAGGCACTGCTTTTCTCTGTTATTTTCTGTATCAAAGAAAGAATATATGGCAGATAAATTAAATTTGTCATCTTTAATTATGCAGAACTTAACTGAGAAAACAAATAATCTTTCTTTGATAGTGTAAACCAACAATTATTTGAGCTAAGTTTTATTATTTTTTTTTTTGTCAGTATGAAATTCATCAGGGACAACTACTTTTCATGACTGAGGAAACATTTGACATAAATACACAATTTATTTAACAAATATTTTGCCACAAGATATATTCCTGAGTAAAAGAAGGTCGCAAAACTCAAGAATATTTCTCGCCATGCATAAAAGCTGGTTCACAATATTTAATCAAGATACATGTATGTAACTTTAATATTAATTGTTAGGGTAGATACTCATTTTTCAGGATAAAGTTGTGCAACATACTTTTGTGTAATTACATACTAAATTCTGCTAAATATGGATAGCATGCCAAAATGCCACATAAACATGATAAAATTGTTTAAATAATGAAACAATCATGATAAACTTTATTCTATTTAGGAAAAAATTTTAAAAAATAAACATAACACGTTATCATTATCTAAATGATAAGTAAAACTTTTACCTGTCCCCCTTCTGTTTTTGTTATTTTTACTTCCGTTGTTTGTTGCTCTATCTTCACTGTTTCACCACTACTTGACTGCGAAGTCTTTATTTTCTGAAGCACATTCTTCATAAGAACAGACTGTTGTGCATTCTGGGTAGCTTCAGGCTTCTTCTCTAGATTCTGTTGAGCAGTTCCCTTTGCTTCATTTGAGGAAACTGAACTTGGTTTATTTTCAGTAGACTCCATTCTTGACAAATTTCCAAAATTAATGCTGGTAAGGCTCGGACCCACACTCCCCATCGAGCCATTATTTCCTGAGGAATCATTCTGATCTTCCAAGGGATCCTCAGTGTATTTCATATCAAAACCAAAGATATCCAAAGGTGGGGGAGGGGGAGTTGAGGCTCTTACAGAGTTATCTTCCACTGCTTTGACATCCTGTTCACCACTAGATGTCTCTGGTGTAAAGTCAATTGATTGGTACTTCATGTCCACATTAAAGAGATTGACAGGAGGTCCTCCACGCCCTGCCCTTGATTCATCAATGTCTATTGAAAACTCCTCAAATGTTGCCTCAGTCATTTTGTCTGCCGGTTTTATATAGACATTCTTTTCAATCTGAAATATATTTCAGTGAAACTAATCATAACTAACCATATTAACAGGATATACAGTTTTCAGGAAAGAATACTCTAAAATTTAATGTTTAATAAAGTACTTGTCCATGTTGTCAAGAAAACCATTAAATGAAGGTTATACATTCTGCATACAAAGAAGGTTGAGGAGACGGAAACCAAATGTTTGGACCTGAAAGTAACATATTTGCTTAATACACTATATAATAAAATTGAAACATCATTTTTCCTCATGCGATATGACAACAAGTCACAACCAATCAGGATCCATTAAAACAGGAAACACATGTTTTGACATAGGTACATATCTCTGCGGTTTGTTGACAAACCTCCCCTTCCTATTTTTCATCAAAGATTAATCTGGCATTTCTGGGAAACAAAACCTAAGAGTAATTGGAGTATGAATAATTTCCACTTTTAACTGTTGGCATATTAAATATATACTCTACAATTAAAGAATACCTAATGATGCTTTACAGTAAATACAATACTGAAGGTTAATTTTCAAAAGTGTTTTAGTTACAATGAATCTACATAATTTAGTTGGTCAAACAACGATATTACATGGAAAACACCTTAAGATATTTGTGACAGATCAAACAGGGATTTGAACCTGGTCCCCCTGAATCTCCAGTCAGGTTCTTTACCAACGGGGCTATCTGCATGGCCACTGGCAACTGGACCTGTCTGACCACTGAGCACCTGACTAGTGATTCAGGGGGCCTGGGTTTGAATCCCTGTCTGACCCATCACACTTTTCTCCCTCTCCTATTACATATGTACTAAAAAGTATTAATCATGTAATTATCAAACATTTCTATATTTCCGTAAATGGGCATGTAGCTTTTGTATTTGGAAAAATTTTAGACATGAAAAGTAATGCATGAAATTTGATTTAATCTATACATGTACTTATTTTATTTTTTGTATTACATTTTTAGTTTTCACCTTGCTAAACTTTAAAATCTTCACTTATTACCGATTTGTACTTGTTTAGAAAAAAGACTTCTTTGCCTGAGACGTGTGAGTGTGTCTGTCCATTGGGAAAATGTTGGTAAATTTTGCTGGTGGAAATGACTGAAACTCGGACCTGAGCTGAATGGAGAAAAATAACTGCATAGTGCTAACTTTTCAAACCATAATTTCTGTAAAATTGACTCTCCTGTTGACGTTCCCGACTATGTGCACAACCAGTGGATTTTGAACCGAATTTCCTATGTCATAAAATTAAGAAATGAGATTCAAAATCCATTATTTTAACAAAATCAAACAAGCCAAATGTTGGAATAATCTCTTTGCTACTTAATATATATCATTTAAATGATGTAATCCCTAAAATAACATAAAAAATTTTTTTTACCTTTGTTGAAATTTAGTTTGTTTACATGGATTTTTTCTTAAGTAAGTCGTACAAGATTATTACAATCAACTCGTTCGTAAGTTGAATTACAAAAGGCTCATAAATTTAAGTCTGGGAGAGGAAAAATGACAACTCTGCACATGGAATTGGTTTTTCCCTAGGGATCTAAATAATATAAACGACCTATTGAGAAACGGTCAGATACATATTGATCCCCCTTTCGATTCTCGGTTTACATACCATTAGTAATATATAACCTAAAAGAATCGACCATCTCCCCTTAGAAAAACGACTCCCCTCCCTAATTTTATAAAAAGATTCAAACGACTGCCTATGAGAACCCCTACCCCCACCCCAATACCCACTCACACGAAAAAGATCTTTTTTATTTATTTGCGTTTGGGACTTTTTTCGATCTTACCTCTTGTTAAAAAAAAAAGCTTTTGACAAACAAGTTGGTGAAACAAGAATATCAGCAGTCTCGTTTAAAGTCATCATTTCGTAAGTTCTATGGTCGATACAATGACCTTGTCAGTACAATCTATCATTAAGTCAAATGCTGACTGAATTTTTTCATACTAATTGTTATATAGGCCATTATTTACACACTGAATTGTCGACGGATTTCTCCGTTATTTCCCGGTCATGACAATTAAGGAGCACACGGCGGGTGTGACCAATCCGACGGCAGGGGATGCTCACTCCTCCATGGCACTTGATCCCACCTCTGATGTCTTAGAGGTCCGTGTTTGCTCTGCTCTTATTTTGTAATGTTTAATGGACTTTTGAGCTCGAATAGTCTGTTCGTTATCTCCACATATTTCATTTTTTGAGTTGGAAGACTTTTTTCCCTTGAATGGGTATACCAGTCCCTTTTAGAAAAATACTTTGATTCTTCCTTGGATACACGTGCTTCATTTATAGTACCGTCATGTGCTCATACAGAGTATTGATGGAAAATATTTAAATGAGCAGTGTTTTCAATTTTTACCCACCTTGATGAAGCAATACCAATTCGAAGGTCTCTTCAAACATTAATTAATATCTTTAGTTAATACATAATTGCGTGTATCACTTCTCTCTTAAACTCAAATGAATTAATCATATCAACAATTGAATTGATGCATACGATAATTCAATTAAAGAAAGCAATAATTCAATGATAATAAATGCGTGGAATAAGTGAATTATTGCTCACTTCAATTAAAAGATTGCGCTCATCAGTTAAATTTATGCGCTATAATTGACTTATTGCTACATGTATATATCTTTCATTGAATTAATGATATCAATACCTCAATTAATGCAAACAATAATATATTTATTGAGAGAATTTAGTGATATCTTCGAATCTACCCAGGCGCAGGGTTGGGGGGGGGGGGAGGGGGCAACCCCCCATTTTTTCCGAGTATAGTTTCCTTTAGATGCTGCCCCCCCCCCCCTCACTTTTTGATGTTAATTTTTAGCACTGGCAAATTCAAGGATTTGGACAGTAAATTAGCTTTTTTTTTTTTTGCTTGTCAGATTTTTTTTGGGAAGTTGCCCCCCTTCCCCTATTGAAACCGTTGCACATTGGCAAATCAGTTTAGTTTACATCAAAAGGGTGGGGGGTGCAAACTTGAATTTTACACTACGTGAGGATGCTTCCATACTGGCTTTGCTGTTCTTGAACAGAAGATTTTTCAAAGATTTTTTTCCTATATATTCCTTTGAAAAATTTGATCCCCCATTGTGGCTCCTCCCTATCCATAGGGGTCAAAATTTAAACATACTTGAATCTTCATTACCTGAGGATGTTCCATATTAATATGACTAAACATGGCTTTTCTGTTCTTGAGAAGATTTTTAAAGTTTTTTTCCCTTGTATATTCCTATGTAAAACTTTGATCCCCCATTGCAGCCCCATCTTACCCGCAAGGGGGCTATCATTTGAACAAACTTGAATCTACAATACCTGAGGATGCTTCCATATCTATATAGCTACTCATGGCTTTGCTGTTTTTAAACAGAATATTTTTAAAGATATTTTCCTTTATATTCCTACATAAAACTTTGATCCCCCATTGTGACCCCACCTTACCCCCAGGGGTTATCATTGGAACAAACTTGAATCTACAATACCTGAGGATGCTTCCATATCAATGTCATGGCTTTGCTGTTCTTGAGAAGAAGATTTTTAAAGTTTTTTTCCTATATATTCAAATGTAAAACAGTACTTTAATCGCCTATTAATAGGTGGCCCCACCCAATCCCCAGGGGTCATGATTTGTACAAATCTGAATCTACACTATCTGAGTATGCTTCCATAATAATATGACTAATTAAGACTTTCCTTTTCTTAAGAAGAAAATTTTTCAAGATTTGTTCCTATATATACCTATAATGTAAAACTTTTATCCCCAATTGTCGCCCTATCCTACCCCCGAGGTTCATGATTTGAACAAATTTGAATCTACAATACCTGAGGATGCTTCTACTCAAGCAATGAATCATGATATTTTGACCCCCTGTCCCTGTTATGGTGTTTTGAATGCCATAGATTTCCACACATTTTATATGCAAAATACACTTTTAAATATATTAATATGACTTAACAATTAATTAAGATTTTGCTATTCTTGAGAAGAAGAATTTTAGAGTTTTTCCTATATATTCCTATGAAAAACTTTGATCCCCCTTTGTGGCCCCACCCTACCCTCAGGGTTCATGATTTGAACAAACTTGAATCTACACTACCTGAGGATGCTTCCATAATAATATGACTAATCATGACTTTGCCGTTCTTGAGAAGAAGATTTTCAAAGATTTTTCCTATGTATTCCTATGTAAAACTTTGATCCCCCATTGTGGCCCCACCTTACCCCCCCCCTCCCCCCCGGGGTCATGATTTGAACAAATTTTAATCTACACTATATAAAGAAGGTTTCAAATAAGTTTCAACTTTTTTGGCCCAGTGGATCTTGAGAAGATTTTTTAAAGATATCACCAAATTTTCATTATTTCTGAATTATCTCCCATAGGAAGAAGGTGTGGCCCTTCATTTGAACAAACTTGAATCCCCTTTACCCAAGGATACTTTGTGCCAAGTTTGGTTGAAATTGGCTCATGGTTCTGGAGAAGAAGATAAAAATGTGAAAAGTTTACGATGACGACAACAACGACAGACAACGGACAAATTTCGATAAGAAAAGCAGCTGAGTTAATGACACTTGAGCCTTCGGCTCAGGTGAGCTAAAAGACAAAGCAATACCAACCAACACTTTGCTTTTTTTTTTTATTAGTAAACAACAAAATTAATATGTTGTCATATATTTTCCTTACTGCTTCATGATTAGGACACGTACTCTGTCAGTCAGTAAGTGCAATTTGTAAATTAAAAAATAATATATTAAAAATATTAAATAAAAAGTGTTTTATATATTTCAATATAAGATATCTATCATCATAAGATAATGAATACAAACAGGGTCATAGAGAAAAGTGCATTATGATATGTAAAAAAAAATCACAAAATGTTTAAACTCATTCTTCCTAAAATTATTATTCACCCTGTACATACAAAGATTTAATATTTTCCAATTACAATATGTTTTCTGTAACAAATAAATACATGAATATATATACATGTAAAGCAAAGGTACATTTTTGAAGAAAAAAAATCATATATGTTATACAAATAAGTCTTTGATTTAATGCCTATATTTTGTGTCAATGATTTAATGCCTAAAATTTTGTGTCAATGCATGATTTAATGCCTAATATTTTGTGTCTATGATTTAATGCCTATATTTTGATGTCTTTGTTTTAATGCCTATTTTGTGTCCATGATTTAATGCCTATATTTTTCGTCTCTGACTTAATGCCTATGTTTTGAGTGTATGATTTAATGCCTATGTTTTGTGTCTTTGATTTAATGCCTATTTTTTGTGTCTATAATTTAATGCCTACATTTTGGTATCAAGATTCCTGATCACACTCGAGTTTCCTCTGAACAACATCTGAGGTAGAGATAATCACAAGTTTATCACGTGCACGTGTTGCCAAGCTAAGGATGAATTTACTCAAATCCGCATGTTCTGGATTGACCTTTGGATCCACCCCAACTATGGTCCCTCGATCAAGTCCACTGAACTCCTTCACTGTATCCACTTCTACTCCATGATTTGATGTTAATGGCATCACGCCTACTGTGATTTCTGGCTTGTCCTGTTTACTTCCAACAAGTACAGCCAAGTCATCAACACTGACTCCACTATCGATTATGTTCGAGAGTACTTGGAAAAGTTTCTCTTTCAGATGTTCCTTGTCACATTTGAGGATTTCGACGGATTGTCCCGAACTGTATTCGTGACCAAGATGAGGCGAGCTTTCAAGATTACTTAGTTCTTCCATGTTGTCTGCTAAGGACATTTTTTCCACATTGATGGGACCATTCATGAAATGCTGGGCATATTCAAAGATCTCCTTCGAATTACGGGTTATTTCACTCATCATAAAATTATTTTTTCCAATTATAGATGGAAGTCCTGCATTAAATTTGTGAACTTTCTGAGTGTAGTCCATGAATACCCAGAAGAAGCCATGTCTCTCAAGATGATTTGAGTTTGTCGTCTGCTGAGATGAACTTTCATGTGGCTTGGTCAAACGTTCTGCTGCGCTGTACCAATCTCCATCTCTATCTTTGAAATTCTGTGCCTCATCTACTATGACATTTTTGATATCACTGAAAGTGTCTACACTGGCATTCATGAAGTCACGACGTGTTGACACGTGGCATATTTTGAAAGACCTGAAATAATGAAATGACTTTAAAACTTAAATCATCATATACTCCAGGTAAAAAAAAATGGCTATGCATTTAAAATTAACATGCATATATTCACAAATAATGAAAAAATTTGGAAAAAAAAATTCTCAGATACTTTACTCGTGTGTTTTGGTGTTCATGGATAGACTACATTTTCTTAATGATATATGCTCTCTACTTTTAAGAATTAATTCTGGAATCATACCGGACATATGAGCAAAGGAGTTCATTTTCAGCTAGGTACAGGATTTCTTTTGTCTGAGACCCTCTTCGTTTTAGCTCTTGAACAAACTGGACGGCTGCTACTGTTTTCCCAGCACCTGGAGGACTGTGCACCCACAATTCCTTGGTAAACTGTTGAGTAAATAGCAGTTGAAACTGATCACAAGTGAGCATGAAAAAGTATGTATCCTGAGACAAAATATTTTCCACAGTGGTCGTATTTAGGGTCGTGAAATCCACAGGTTGATAAGCTGCCATTGTAACAATGAGTGAGTCAATAACATTGTCAAATTTCTCCGACGACATATCAAAATGAGAAGGGTAGAACCGCCTTTCGAAATCGCCTTTAACATCCAGAAAATTTTTAACATTGATGATATGTGTAGTAATACCAAACTTGGAAACACAGCCTCCAAGAGCCACCATTTTGTACTTGAGGTGGGCTGCAACATCATGTGTATGTGCCCAAATGGTATTTGATTCTGAGGTAGCAAATGTGATTAAGTGACACCCTTGGGTCTCACTGACAATAAACAAATCGCAGGTCACTTTTTGGAGGGACGGCAGTGGAACTGACAGCCCCCAGCAGTTGACAAATAGGGATAGATGTCTCCCCCCAGAGAACAGGTCCACAACAGAGCAGACGAGGCTTCTGGTGTCCACACAATCAATGGTGGTCAGGAAGTGGTGAGGCTGAGCAAACTTCATCGATTTCTCTATAATGGAATACATATACAAAATGTTGTTAACTTTTAACCATGTAATTATAATGCATAATATTTAATGAGAAGGTACGATGTATATAGAATCTTTTGGTATTTAAAGAAAGTACTGATACTTGAGAAAAACATCATATTAAGGGAAAAAATCTCATTTGGATGCCATACACTGTAGATCAAAAAATTTTCCAGACACCTTATTTTTGCAAGAAAATAATTAGGTATTAATTAATAGCCAGACAAAATTTTCACAAATATTTTTTAGATGTTGTGTGTAATTCTTTTTAAGATTAATATACTTCAGAATAAAATTTTTACAAGCAGACAGTCTCACAATTAAGCAAAAATGAAGTTCTTGCAAATGAGATTATAAACAGTACATTCATATATTCAATTTATAGAATTTAGTTCACAGGGCACACACTTTATTTTTCAAATGAATACAATGCAAACACATCTAATAATGCCTTTTGATGCTCAAATACAACTTATTTTATTACCAGAAAAAAACAGTCCACCCTTTACTAAAAAAAAAAAAAAAGTGCACCTACAAACCTGTAAATAATTTGGCCTTTATACTGTTCATGGTATGTTTCAAGGAGAATACCAGGGGTGCCTGAGGCACAGTAAAGGGAAGCTTAATGAAGCGTCCATGTAATTCCGGCTTATCTACAAATTCACAAAAAAGACTACTATTAAGGCGTCAGTATAATTTTTTTAAGCATTAAAAGATCAACTATTTCCATTTTTTTAAAAACATAATATGAAGCAGTCATACACTGTTGAAATCATGAATTCAGTTTTAGGATAATAGAAAAATGTTTCATTTTTCCAGTAAGACATTCATTTATCAGGGAGAGTAATATGCAACTCATGTGAACATTCTTAGCACTTCTTATCATCTGGCTTAAATTACTAGAACAGTCAGATTCAGGTCTATATCAACTCCTGATTATGTAATTTTGGTTGTAAAATTTGATGCCAGGAATATGACAATTGACTACAACATTTTTATGAAGTGTAGTTGTCAGTCAGCATTTCCTCTGAAAGAGTTGAGCATTTGCTTTCTTCCATTGATATACCTCTGAAAGGGTTGAGCATTGCTTTTTTCCATTGATCAAAGGACCAGCAGTCTACAGTCTGGGTCTTTGTGTTGACATAGTAACTATCCGGAGTGGCAGAAAATACGCCCCCAGGAAATTTACATACGGACACAACAACAACAACTCGGGGATTCTGTGGATAAAAGTAATCATGGGTAATTTGTTAACCTTGGAAAGATCTCCCTAAAATATTTCTGAATAAGAAAATTTGGGATTGATGTATTCTACAATAACTTTTCAAATACTATTAACTTGATTAACAAATTTAGATATTAATGTGTAGATAATTTGTATCTTTGTAATTTAATCTTAAAAAAACTTTCTGCTAAGTACCATATGAGCAAAAGATTTAGCAGAAATTCAATTTTGGCAATATCAGCAAGAGTGTTGAAGTTGCTAGATTGAATATTGCTAACAATGCATTCTGCACAAGTGGTAATTAAGAATCATTTAAAATTAACTCTTGCTAAAATAAAATATGGATTTTTAAGGAAAAAAGCTAAGCTTGTGTCTCGTAAAAAATAAAATCCACTTACATAGTACATGTATGTGAAAACTTAATAAAAAATATTTGAAGTCAGGTATACCATCTTATGAGGCACACTCTGCACTGGGGAGAAATGAATGTCCCACTGTACCCCTCTCTGGGCACTGAAGGAGGAACTCCCCCATATCATAACATCCATCTTCAACTGGACCAGCTTTACTGAAATAAGAAGACTTCAATCAATAGTGTTGATACATGTAAATAAATTAAAATAATTAAATTTAATAGAGAGCTGAAAATAAACTTATGTATGAAAGATACAGGTAAAGAAAAAATCTCATAAAAATGTCATGTTTTTCTTTCTTAAAGCAAGGTTATTTCTTAATTAGCCATGTATCTTTTCAAATTATTTGGACATATCAATTGACAATCAATAAAATAGCTAAGACATGTTTTCCACACTGTTTCTCAAAATCACAGTTTCAAGTGACCAACTTGTAATTTTAAAACATTTAACCTCATAGGTGATTTTGGATCCATTAGGATGTACCTGCAATTTAACATTAAACAAATAATTTACAAATAAAAGATGATGAACATCTTAAAAAGCAAACTTTCAATTTACAATTAAACCTAACAACATCTTCAAATTAATGACATATTTGATGAAAATATTTCTCATAAGAAGTCATACTTTGTCTCAATAAGATATTTTAGACTGGATATTAAGAAACAATTTAGGTTGTTCCATGTGGTTTACTAATTTTGTATTTATTACTGGTAGACATACTGCTTGGCATCATGCTAAGTTACCTGTCCATCATGTTAAGTTACCTGTCCATGATGCTAAGTTATCTGTCCATCATGCTAAGTTACCTGTCCATCATGTTTAGTTACCTGTCCATCATGCTAAGTTACCTGTCCATCATATTAAGTTACCTGTCCATCATGCTAAGTTATCTGTCCATCATGCTAAGTTACCTGTCCATCATGTTTAGTTACCTGTCCATCTTGCTAAGTTACCTGTCCATCATGCTAAGTTATCTGTCCACCATGTTGTTACCTGTCCATCATGCTAAGTTACCTGTCCATCATGTTAAGTTACCTGTCCATCATGCTAAGTCACCTGTTCTCTCTTGTTCCTGGTCAGTCATCTCTTCTCCATACACAGCAGCCTGATCATCATCAATGCCAAAATAGATGTGTCCTCCTTCATGATTAGCAAATGCTGTCACATATTTTGATATCAGTGTCCTAATTTTGTCTGGGATGCCTTTCCCGTCTCTTGAATTTCGACTTGATAGCTGTTTGAATTGAATTTGCTTTGTCTCTTGTTTGAGATACTCATTTGTAACTCCATACTGGAAGTTTGTGGGGATTGAAGGGAGGGCAGAGAGTGGTTTTCCTGATTCATCTCTCTGGAGGAGCTTGATCACAGACTGGTAACTGACCTCATGCGTGGCTGTGTCGGTGGGTAAACGGGAATGATAGTCTATTGTACAGATGTGCTCAGCAGACTTGATAAAGAGATACAGATCGGCATCATCGTAATTTCCCACCATATCAAAATAGTTACAAATATCATCTGATGAGATCATCTCAGCGAGTTTTATTTCCATTCCACTCCACCATATATCTAAATCTTTGGAGCAGACTCCACTTCTATAATCCTCATTCTTCATGTGGAGAACACCTCCACCACTATTCGCGATTCCACATGCATAGCGTAAAACAATATCATTGTCAAATTCATGGATTCCTCTGGAGATGTGGATATTGCAGTGGAGAATACACTCCCCATACCGATGTAGATTGGATGTTCTTAACATGGAAGAAAAAATTAAGAGAGCTTTATAAATTCTGGTTCATTAATTTATCTTTGCAAGCCAAGAGCTTCAAATTCATTCCTCTACTCAAGGATAGGAGGAAATTAGGAAATAATGATTAGTGCAGATTTGAATCAGCATATATATTATTATAATACATGTATATAAAACCCCTTTCAAGATGTTGCAATGATGCTGTATATTGTACAATATCATGAAAGGGGTTTTGAACTTAATATAATTGAAATGATTCTTTTTATTCATATAGAAGAGACAAGTTTGTGCCTATATGTCTGAGGTTGAACAATCGAGGGATCTCTGGCTTATTTACCAGTTTAGTGCACTCTACCAATAGATTGCTAAAAGCCAAAGCTAGTATGATTCCATGCATCTTACACTACCACATTTACATACCAACATAACATTTAAAGTATGTTAACTCTTGCTCAACCTTAGTGTTAATATACATGTATTTTTTAGAGATGTTCAAAAAGTTATCATGTACTTCTAAGGAAACATGGTAAACTAAAACTTAAGATTCACATGTTGTTTATGTTTTAACCAGAATTGAACAGGAAAATAATATACAATGTATATACTTACATGTCGTGTGTAGAAAGTCCAAAATGGTCTGTAGACATTTTTTGTCTTTTAATTTTTTTCATCACTGAATTGCATGCTGAGTATAATTAAACTGTAAATACATTTTAGGACCAATTGGATATTTTAAGATTGTGCACAGCGCCAAAAATATAAAACAAATCAAATGTTAAGAAATAATTCGCTGACATGTCTTACTGAATAAATCAAGACAGTAAATATTTTTTTGTAAACAAACATAGGAAACGGAATAGGGCGCAGCCATTTTTCCGGATATTCATCGGGAGTGTTTCATGAATTTTTTTTGTTATGGCTATGGACGTGGTGTTTGTCAAATGTTTGATAAAATCCTTTATTTTTATAAAACAATTCCTTGAAATATTTGATTTGTAACAAAAATGTTTTTGTGATTGTTAGTACCAACCATGCGAAAACATTTCCTTAGTAATAATGCTCTCTCCCTAGAGCTCTTTAGTGATGAAGGTAAGAAAATACTATCAGATTTTTGTTGACATTGACTTTCACTTTCAGTATCTCATGTAAAGAACTTCTTTAAGAAAATAGACACTCATTAAGGATCGGAAAAGATAGAATTTTAAAAACTGAATTTTGTAGAACAACCACTTCAGTTTATTCTTTGTAGAGGAGCTAAAATACACCACGCTGCACACACACTGAAAGGTTTGTGGGAGTTTTTTCTGACATTTGCATGCTATACAGGTCCAGTCCAAAAACTATTCCTACTTACGTAGCTATTAATAGCTACCTAGGTATTTAAACCTACCCAAAGTAGCTATTTCTACCTAAAAATTGCATTACTTGCATTTTGTGGCTAAACGCCCGAATGGCACAACATGGTGAGTACCAAATTTCTTGATACAATCACACTGATGATGAATACAAGAAAATTGTGGCCAAAAAATGATTGCTTCATAAATTAACAATTTTGCATAGTAATAAATGCAAAATTGTTAATTTACTACGTAATCATTTTTTGGTCCAAATTTTGTCGTATTCATCATCAGTGTGACTGTATCAAAAAATTTGGTACTCACCATGTTGCGCCATTCCGCCGTTTGGCCACAAAATGCAAGTAATGCAAAAAGTAGGTAAAGATAGCTACTTTGGGTAGGTTTAAATACCTAGGTAGCTATTAATAGCTACGTAGGTAGAAATAGTCTTTGGACTGGACCTGTTATATTTACAACCCTTAAAGGTGCTTGGACACAGATTTTAAGTTAATATTTTCTCAAATTTTCTGTATAATTTCATGACTTATATATTGCTAAAGTATTTCATACTAAAATATAATAAAATCTTATTTCATCTCGAAGTTATTAAAACTTCGAATTTCTGGACTCGTTGGATTGACACAATGAAAAATATTAAAACTATAACCCAGAAAATTCAGAGTAGAAATGTTCGAAAGCAAAACCCACTCACAGTATTGTAAGTCCCTGCTCAGTGGTGTGTGCAGAGTTTAACAATTGAACACACCCGGTGAATCATAAACATTAACAATAACAGAGCTTGTGCCCTGTTTACAAAAACAGTTTACGTTTCACGGGTGTGTTCCATTTGTTAAACTCTGTACACATCACAGAGCATGGACTGACAATACTGGTGAGTTGGTTTTGCTTTCCAACATTTCTACTCTTAATTTTTTGGAATATAGATGTAATATTTTTCATTAATACATAACAAAATCGCTTCTTTTCTTAAATATTAAGGATAAAGTTAAAATTTGTGTAAGTGCAAAGATGTGTTAATCAAACGCGTCCCGGAATTCGTAGTTCCAATAATTTCCAGATAAAATAAGTTTTTAATTATATTTTCATGTGAAATGCTATTGCAATATATAAGTCGTGATATTATACAGAAAATTTGAGAAAATATTAAGTTCAAATCTGTGTCTAAGCACCTTTAAAGATAAAAGATGAATAGATGGAACTAATCTCACCTCTATGCAGTATATGTTTGTGCAGATAATACCTGTAATTATTAAGATTTTTTGTATACTAATGCCCTAATCACCCAGGAGAAGTTATGATTGTTTACTTTGTAATGTGAAGCTGATTTTGACAGTCCACTCAATTAACATGATAGAGAGAAAAAAAAACAGAAAAGGTTACATGTCAAACATTTTTTAAACCGAAGCAGATTTTTAAATATTGAAGTTTTATTTGACTTTCTTATGTAAAACATTCTATTAAGTGATGTGATAACCATTTAATTATACAGATGGCAGGGATAGACTATTGCACTGTTCTACCATCCTGGGACTTCGACAAAGATCCAGCAACTATTGTAGAGTATTACTTTGGACAAGAGTTTAGGTTTGACATAAATTTAATTATTAAGAGATATTTTTAACCATTTAGCTGAATTTTACGGTTTTTGCTCCTTCATAATAAGTGACATTATTTTAATATTGGGAGGTCTTCAGGAGCCAGTCAGTTAATATCTTTCTTCCTTTTGGTACATTAGAAGCTTTTTGATTCAAGTTTTAGTGCAAGTCATTTCTTTTTTTGCCAATCTGATTAAAATCAGTTGTTCTGATATGCTACCGCTTATGAACGTAATTTTAATCAGATTGTTTTTTTCCTAGCTCACAGACAGATGATAATGATGATGATGGAAGTGGACAACAACCTTGTCAAGATATCAACCCGAGAAATTTCCTCCAGCTGTCCAGTGTGGAGGGGGAGGAGGTCTGTACCATGACCTTGACCTGTAAACCTCAGTATCACATCAGTATCTGTGGTCTCCATGTGTACAGTCAGGCAAGACTGGTGGAAATCTATGATGCAAGTGAGGGGTACCTAAAGACTGTGAGGGGACAGAGAATGAGGATGATGGGGGATGATGAAGGGGGAGAGGATTCAGAGGTTGTGTACAAGTGTAGGACATCATTAGACACATGTTATGGACTGACCATCAAGGTGAAATTGTTACAAAGTCATTTTGTATTAATGTTTTCTTATCTTAAAATATCCCAATCTAAGTGGCTTTAATTTTCTTGAATTATCACTTTATTACATGTATTTATTTAATTAAATAATACATAAATTTAATTAAATTTACACATCAGGAATGTCCTTTGATAAAAATCATCAAATTAATGCATATGTTTTAATGACAGTGTATGAAATAATGCTGGTTTTGACTTGAACAATTCTACACAAAAAAGTGGTCTGACATTCTTAGAAATATTACAGTAGATCAGAGTCAACATAACCTAAATTTGTGAATTTAAAATGAATCAAAATTACTAATGAATTATCCACCTTTGATCAGCATTGAGGAGTCCATTTTACATTCCAGTTTCCACGAGTTCATGGTGTCAATTTCTTCAAGATTTTCAAAGTAGTCTTCATTCTTCATCCTGAACCAGAAGAAGATTATGGTGGGAGTGGAGGTCAGTTAGGTCAAATAAACATGTCAAAGGTCAAGAGTTATGTAACAAGTCTCGGAGACAACATCCCTGAGGGAGCCAGGGGACTGATGCAATCCATGGAGGAATTTCAGCAGGTAAGATTTGTGTGATTTATACATGTACTGTGATATAGAAATATTATTAAGTTCATGTTAAGAATATTTTGAATTTGGTGTGGTAAGAGATTTTTTAACAATGAATGTTAAACCTCTAAAAATTGTTTCCTAGATAAATCTATCTAAAAAGTCTAACATTTAAAATTTTACTGAGCGGTCTGAAAAAAAATTGATGTTGGACCACTGAGTGGGATATTAGATTTGTCATTGAGATATTGGATCGCTATAACACTTTTTACATCACACTGTAGGTGAGATCAGCTATATCTTACCAATTATTGAAAACATGGAGGCCATTGCAAGATATGTCAAAATAAAAAGTAAAAGTCATATATATCAAAACATTTATTGACTGTACATGTGTTCCTGGGTAAAATGCATTTTGTCGACCCCTCGAACCATCAGCTACAGGCAACACCAATTTGGTTCTTGGGTCCAACAGAATGCATGTTGCCCTTGAACCCAGTCAATAAATGTATAGTGTAAGGAATACCATCACATGTAATACACAGTACATGTATGTCAAAGCTGCATAACTTTTCAAAAAGGCTTCACCTTCAACTACATGTATTTACATTTGCTACATTTTTTTCTCTTAATTTATTTGCAATTTTCTTGAACAGTCACACATGTTAATATACACCAAGAAACTCACACTGTTGTGAAATCACAATTAGGAAGTTGAGATGGTAGTAAAAATATTATATAGTGCAGTGGTAAATTCAAATCTTGAATGAATTTTTGCTGTTTTTAAACATGTAAATTACAAACGAAGGGATTGCTTTTTTATTTAGTCTGCAAATGTTATTGGTGTGTACATAAAACAGAATTGTCAGGTAGGCATATTGTTCATTAAGTGCTAACAAGAAGTGCTAACATGCATCATGAATTTCAAATATGCCTACAGGACAAGTTTGTTTGAAGTACACACCAATATCATTCACAAAACTTAAATCATTCCCTAATTATCCAACCAAAATTGCAGTTTATTGTTAAATTCCATTATTTGGTACTTTTGATACTTTATCTAGAATCAGAGGGCTTCTATGACTGGAATACATGGTTTTCTTGGCCAACAACCTTCATCTGCAGGGTCACCACTAGGAATGATGGGATTGATGTCCATGCTCTCTCAAATGGGAATCAGGTCTAATCAGCTTCCAGGAAAAACAAACAACAGCCAATCACATCTGAACAATTTATCTCAAAAGGGAATCAGGTCCAATCATCTTCCAGAACAAACAAACAGCAACCAATCACATTCAAGCAATTTATCTCAACAGAGAACACAAGATCAGTCTGGAAATTCAAATGAGAGTGATTCTTCAGATGTTTTCTCTCTACTACATAACATTTGTGATAGAGTTTCTGGAATGCGAGCAGAGGAAAAAAGAAAAATGGAAGAAGCTGAGGAGACAAAGAGAAGGGAAGCAGAAAAAGCAAAGGAAGAAAAATTGCAAATAGACATTGCTTCAGAAAATACCACAGACGCAAATATTCCAGAGGAAATGAGGTGGGAATTAATGTTACATTGTTATTTGTACAGCTTTGTAAAAGGTGAAATAATTGTGAAAAACACAAAATACAAAGTAGAGAGTTTTGGTTCTGCTGTTAGCTAATAGAAATGTTTGAATTCATATCTTATGTGTAGTTTGTAGATTTAGTAGTAGGTTTAGAATACATTTTACTTATAAGAATTGATATTTTATTGCAGAGCCATAAAATGAAAGAGATGTGATTTCAGATGTGTTGTTCAAGAACAACTCTGATCAAATTCACCCTCATAAACTTTTAAATTTATCTTTCTTTTCAGAAACAGAGATACAGAAGTTTCTCCTGGATCTTCAAACTCATTGAACACCAAATTAGAGGACCTTGAACAAAGACTTCTAAGTCATGTAGACTCTAAACTAAGTGAGATGGAAAAACGTATCAACTCAAGACTGGATGAAATCTTAAAATTACTTCAGAGTGATTGTGTCTCCACTCCAGAATCCTGACACAGAGTGTTGGGACATGATTTTGTTTTCAGTAAAATTTGTTTTTACATGTAGTTTAATGGTTGATAAATAATAACCTGGCATTAAGTTTCCTGAAGACCTAACCTTTTATATTTTTTTTAATGTATTTTCTTTCATTTTCCTACATTTTTTATAATCATGCATATGGATGGATTTGAACAATATGCAAATGTTCTGATGATGGTTTATATTAATTTAGATACAGATTCTTTGTCCAGATTTGTGATATATAAATATATTTGTATTTCCCTTGATTTTTATTTTAAAGGAGTGAACTATATTCACCTTAACCATCCATCTTTTTTAAACAAATGCAATTTGATTTGATGTTTTTACTAACATTTTCTTTCAGTATGAAGTTGAAGTAACAAAATAAAAAGAAATGTAGTGTATAAAAACATGCAAAAAAATAAAACTGCGATTTTATACTGTAAAAAGATTTGATCTGTTTTGCCACAAGAAATGTTATAGAATGTTTTAGAAATATATATGCTCCCCATGTGGCTACACTGGAAAGGATCAACTTTAAAGAAGAAGGTACGGTTTTTAGCTTTATTGTGCCCTAAAAAATCAATGTTTTCAAAAAGTATTGAAACTGGCTTAAATGTTAGTTGAGTATATGACTATGATAAATCTGAAAGGAATATGGCATGAAGGAGTACCATTCTGGAAATATGACGTCATTAATTTGATGCATTTCTCTATTTTAAACAGAAAAAGCCTCAAAATGGCCCATTTCTAGGGTTATTTTCCTTAAGAAAATAGTGTCCACAGCTGTCGCCCACTTTAATTTTCGGATATGCTGTGTAAAATTCTTTGGAAAATCATATATCTCAAAATCTTTGTGGGCGATGCCTGTGGACAATATTTTCTGAAAGAAAGTTCCATTGAAAATTGGTGTCTTCTGCAACTTTTTAAGAAAATACGGGAAAATGCACAGGTCTATGACGTCACAATTAGCATTTAGAAGGTCATGTGAGAAAAATGGTTTGTATGATCTTTCTGCATGGAATTTCAATGATTCAAAAAGCATAAGTTTTAATTTTTTATATCACTTTCATTTTTAAGAAAAACACAGGGCAAGATTTGTATTGAAACTGTACCTTGTTTTTTAGAATTTAGAATGTTTTTAATGGTAGTGAAAAAAATTATAATCTACTAGTCAGGGGCAACAATAATGAAAAGTTTGATTTCTATCAGGCAAAAGGTTCATAGGATATTTAGCAGACAGTATCTCCCTATGTCCACCATAGTTTGACATTTCACCCTCTGTGACCTCAAAATCAATAGGGTCTTGTACTTTTTAGGAGGTACCAATGAAGCAAGTTTGATGTATTTCAGGCAAAAGGTTCTTAAGATATTGAGCAGACAATTTCTTCCTATTTTCGGAGTAGTTTGACCTTATGACCTCAAAATCAATAGGGTTCTTCTACTTTTAAGGGGGTTCCAATGTACCATGTTTGATATCTGTCAAGCAAAAAAAAATGTTTTAGAAACATATATAGCCTCCATTTTGCAATATTCAAAGGAATCAACTTTGAATTAAGAATGCCTGGGATTGAAAAAATAGTAGAAAATATCTTCCTATGTCCAGAGTAGTTTGAACCTTGACCTTGGATCATGTGACCTCAAAATTAGTAGGAGTCATCTACTCCTCAATTGTTACCAGTGTATCAAGTTAGTTGCAAAGGGTTCTCAGTAAGTTGAGTAAACAATATCTTCCTATGTCCAGAATTTTTGACCTTTGACATTGTGACCTTAAAATCAATAAGGGTCATTTACATCTCAGGGGGTACCATACTAGAAGTACCAAGATTGATATCTGTTAAGCAAAGGGTTCTCAAAATATAGAACAATGTTTTCCTATGTCCATAGTTGTTTGACCTTTGACCTTGTGACCTCAAAATTAATAGGATCATGTTCCTTTTTAGGGGGTATAAAGTTTGATGTATGTCAAGCAAAGGGTTCTCAAGACATTGAGTAGACAAAACTTGGTCTACTTACCAACAGGTACTGAACGAAATGCACTTTTTTTCAAATATGGGGCTTAATTATGTTTTTTTCTTTGTTTTTTAATGTTATTTTGTGTGAATAATGCAGTGCATGAGTGATATACATCGAAATTATAAAATTAATAGTTTGAAAAAATACATGCAATTGCAGCTGTTGAGTTTTTATACCCAAGTCAGCTAAAATTTTATTCAGCAATTGATTGTCTTTATTTTTTTTTTTTTAAATGATTTTAAATAAAATGTTAAAATGGTTCCACATGTAATCTCAGTAGGACCCCCTGAAAAAGGTGGCATATTGGTTTGGAGCTATCGGTTGGTAAAACAAGTGTATTATTTGATTATACCTTGATAACCCTTTTCTTCACAGGAATAAAATATGGAGATAACGAACAGTAATCAAGCTCAAAAGCTTAAAAGTCCATTGAAACTATACAGATCGAGAGAAGAGCAAACAAGGACCTCTAAAAACATCAGAGGTAGGATCAGGTGCCATAAATGAGTAAGTATTCCCTGTTGACCTGTCACACCCGCCGTTTGCTTATTGTCATGATCGGGCAAACGGAAAGATCCGTAGACAATTCAGTATTTAAATATTAATGGTCTAAAAATTAATATGAAAAATGTTAGTCAGTATTCGACTTAATGATAGATTGTATTTGCTGACAAGGTCATTGTATTGAAACTTGCGAAATGATGACTTTAAACGAGACTGGTGATATCCTTGTTTCTTCAACTTGTTTATCAATACCTTTCGTATTTCACAAGTTGTTCACACGAGGAGCATGCATTTCATGGATAAGTTTTTGAATAATTTCTGCTTCATATAAATACAAAAATAGGTCTGCTAATAACGGAGTGCAAAGTTTACCCATGTGAATTCCGACAGATTGTTGGAAGACCTGTCCTCCAAAAACTACATACATTGGCATTGTCAATCAAAAACTCAAGCATCTCTTTAATATCCACTTCAGAGTACTTTTGTATACAATCAGAAATATTTTTATCAAAATAATTTTGCAAAGGACCAATTATAAGGTAAGTAAAATTACGAGTTCCATTTTTATTGAAAAAGCAGCTGTCTAATGATGTCAAAAGCCGGAACTCGAGGAGAATGGTTGTATCGAGTGTTGAAAAGTCGTACGTTTTGATGTTATTGATTTTGGTAAATTTTTGTGATTTCAATTTTTTTAAAAGTTCCTTGGAGGTTTTAAGTACATGTATCCACATCTGATTTAGACAACTTATTTAACTAATGTAATAGGGACTCTTTTAAGCTCACAATGTACCAGTGTGAATGTGATGAGACTTTTAACAATACACCAAGAAATAGGTGTAGTCATGGGAATTGATCATACAATAAACCAAATACTTGATGTGTCCTTTGATTCGCTGTTATACCTTACGTCAGTAATCTACATGTAGCTAAGTCTTCAACACATATCCGCACCGAACTTTACTCGGTTCCCTTGAAATCTTTGAATAGACTATTTGAAAAAGCTGAAGTAAGTCCATACTTGCATGGATTCTTCACCTACAGAATACAATCTATAGTGTTAGTGATTATGGATGTTGCCCAGCATAGGCTCTTTAAGTCACCACATGTGTTGGAAGATATTAATTCCTATCCAAACTTTTAAAAATATGCCCACAAAGGAAAAGATGCCCTGAACACCAGTAACGTACATTCTTAATCATAAAAAAGTTCAGTTTTGCCGTCTACCATATTTCAAGTTAAGGTCTACACCCTGCATATCCTACAGATATTCCCCAACTGTTGCTTCCAAAATTTTGAATTATGAGCAAACCTAGATATATTGAACATTTAAAACAAAATCCTCTTTATGTGTACTGGTTCTTACTCTTCCTTCAGTCCCACTGGACACGTCATTACTGAGGATTTTAATATAGTTGAAAATGTCGAGATAAAAGCAATCTTTTTTTTTTTTTTTTAAAAAGTCCTAAATACAGGGGGCCCTGATGTTTAAAATGGCCACATAACATTTTTTTCTTTTTTGAAAGGGGGGGGGGCTGGAGTTTTGTCAGAATGGATTCAGTGTTTTAAAAATATATGAAAGATTTGTGTTAGAAAGTCAAAGGGCCATGTGCAAACCAACTATCCTTCCGTTTTCAATAAATTGGAAGTGATAGAAGAATTAGACTACATGAACAGACAAGGCTAGTAACAACACCACCATTATGTGTAAAACTCATTGTTACAACTGCTGTATTTTAGATGAACTTGGTTTTAATTCTACATCTGGAAATTCAACTTATACCAGTCAACTTTCTAAGGGTGATTTTTTTCTTCAAAATTACATTTCAGTCTGTAATACTTTTACATTCCAGTCAACAAAAGTGATCTCGACTTACCCTACCTATACAGGATTCCTAAACGTCATAACATTCCTTACAAACACTGCAGGGTCACGCAAATGCTCAACCAAACCCCTATCTTTACTCCTCACGAAAATATTAACTGCTATGAAGGGAAAACTTCAGACGTACTGTGCTACAGCATATTTGAGAAGTGGTGTAAATCAAATGTGGATTCGAACTTTCAGAAACTTTAAAATCGTTTTTTTTTCTTTCAAAAGTCAGCAACATCAAAACGTACGACTTTTCTACACTATATATAATCATTACTCATGGTATATCAAAGACTAGGCTTTCTTATATCATAAACAACTGCTTCTTCAATAAAAATGGGACTCGGAAATATTCATGTGGTTGGTCATATACAAAATTACTCTGTTTAAAATCATTCTGATTTTACACATAAATACTCTGAGGTTGATATCATTAGGATAGGATGCTGGAAATCCATGAAATCTTTGAAGATTAGGTCCTCTAACAATCTGTTGGAATTGCGATGGGCACTTATTGTGCTCTTGTACAAGCCGGCCTGTTTTTATATTCCTATGAAGAAGATCTTTCTTTGAAAACTTCTAATGAGAAGAAACCGTCACGGTAGCTCAGTCGATAGAGCACTCGCTCCGTGATCAGAAGGCCGTGTGTTCAAACTCAGACCGCGACTTTCCTAAGTCGATAAAAATAGGTAGCAACTATTCCTTCGCCAAGCACGGCACTTTGAAGTGGAAGTTGCGGGTCTTTCGGATGAGACATTAAAAATCGAGGCCCCGTGTCACGACAGGCATTGGCAAGATAAAGATCCCTCACTGCT